TGGGGGGTTGTGGGGGCAAAGTGGGATTTATTGTCTGTGTAACAGAGTATTGTCATTGATCACACCCACTCTGTCCCATTCTTTAATGGTTCTCAGTGGTTGCAAGAAAACAGTTTTAGATTTCCCAGGCACGTTATCCTTCATCTCGAGCACATTTCCTGAAATAGTCAGCATCAATTTGTTAGATTTATATGGAACTGATTTAAAGGTATCGAGGTTCAGACTGTTCTTAGCCAGAACATTGTTCAGATGTTTTCCAGCCAGCTTGCATGAGATGAATTGGGCCCCATATTTTCCTGACCTTTTTGTCTAAACCACTGAAATTTGTTGTGTTTGAATTTTCAAACATTGTCGGCTCTCCACTAGAGCTTTCAGTTATGTTTGTGATTTAACTTTCTTCTTGGAATATCTAACCATGATTTCGATACATGTTCTGCCCACTGCCTGTGTTTGACAATATGCCATCGTTTTAGAAGGTTAATGTGTGGATTGAAAATGTTGGCAATTTGACAAAGAGGAAGTTATTTCTTTTGCAAGCGGCTGCAAAGTTGCCCAAATCTTGCTCAACGGCACTCGTTTCAATTAGAATTGTCAAACCGAAGGCAGAGGCTGAAATCTTGAACGCGTTATGAAAGTTGCAGCCCATTAACTGACTTCTAAAGGGAAATGGTCATAAGAAAGAGATGTACGTGAAACATCTGGCGTGATTTTTGTACTCCTCGAGAAGAGGGAGCCCGATGGAAAACAGTGTACTCTCAATTAATTTAGATCAATATTTTTGCAATTAAAATGAGTAATCTTTATTATTTTGCAAGAATACATGTTGCCCCAATCACACACTTGGCTAGTAAGATGAATGGAGAAAATTTTTCAGGAGAAAATTAGATCATAGAATCATTGAAATTTGCAACACAGGAGCCAACTGAGTCTGAAACAGCTTCCAGAGCTGTTCAAAGCTGATTTTCTTTCATCTGCATGTCTACTTTGCTCCTGAAACCCACAACAGACTTAGAAATCCACAGTTTTAAGTGCTGAATTTGGATCAATAAAAATATTCCCAGAGTTGTAGCTGCCTATGGGCAGAGTAAATTGTTTTCAGCACACCATCCAAATTGTACAGAAAACCTAAGATTGTGAGGGATTCCAAATCCCTGGTGCATTTAATGGCCTAGTTTATCGTTAAGGGAACCAAACCATCTAAGTCACCTTAAAAGCTGACAAACCCATAAATGCAGAAAGAGAAAGGAAGGGAATTTTGAAAGGCGTTCATTTACTGAGTCCTGTTTTAGTGTTTAGTGTTATCAATAAGATTCCAACAGATCAGGGTTGTGTTTGAATCTGCTGTGAATGTAACTTGTAATCTAACAAAAAGCGCCAAATGTCAGAGTGATATTTTATGTCTCGAGGTTGCAAGCGTTGTAGCTGCTGGCACACCACTTGCTTTTGTCGAACAGATGATTTGCAATCGGCTGCACTCTTTGAATTGATTGCTCTGCTTTTTTGTGACCTGTCATTCATCCCCTGTTTGACCTTGGTGTTTGGCAGGAAAAATGGAATGACAAATGATCATAATTTATTTATTTATTAATCTTTTTCAATCCATCTTGAATTGCCAACAATCATTTTTAAAGCAACTTAAGAACGCTGGCTAACTCTAGATGAAATGTTAGATAGTCAAATTGTGACACCCTGCATAGTACTCAATGCTTTTGCTTTAGACTCAGAATTGATGAGTTTTTAAGGGGGGCGGAAAAGAACAAGGGTTACTTTCTGCACAAAGCTAACAATTGGAACAGGCTGTCTTCTACCTTCTAGGAGACATTTTAGCTTGGTTAGTTTGTTTTTATTGCCATGGAGATCACCACTCATGTCCTGAGCTGATGGTATTGTATATTATCAGCAGCTCCATTCATTTCAGTGGGAGACAGTTCTTTTGACTGGCCTGGAGGGATCTCTCCAGACAGATGCTGCTGGAGCCTGGATATTGTTGCAGTGACTGGCTGTGCAGGTCGGTAACAAATCCACCTTTCAGATGCCAGAGTTTCATGGATACTTAGCTCTGAGGCTTTTGGGCTGCCATCGTGACCAAGTGGTGGGGGTAGGGAGTGGAAAGGAAGAGGGAGAACGGGATTGAAATTGCAGCTGGTGAACATGAACGTTGGTCTGCAGTTTTTTTAAAAGATTGGGATTGTACGGGATGAGATGACTGCTAGCAGCTGGCGAAGAATGTGTTTCGCTACCAAGGGGGACCAAGCATCAAAGCCTTGGCATCTTACCAACGCACTGAATCTCTGCTAAAGCCCTGAACCAGACACTGAATATAAATCATTAGTTCAGATGTGTGTGGGTAATTCCTGATGGCAGTGACTGAAGGTTACTATCAGACATGTGATGACACAGGTGGGGGCTGCAGTATTTGCCCAAGGACACCGTCATCACTCTAATCCATTTTAAGCAACATGCCACAAAGCTTAAACTGTTGACACTTCTATCTGAAACCAGAATCCAATGGACAGCTATCAGCTGTATTCTGATGCTATCCCTAAATCAATTAAGCATTTTATGCATTATGCATATATTTCACAACCTCTTAACAATGTCACACTGTGTGTGTCTCTCAGCTATCAGTTACCTTAGAAACGTGTTAGTCACTGAAATGGCAGTACTTCAAAAATCAGCATTAAGAATACGTGTCAAAATATCAACTTCTGTCAATTTGCTTCTTAAGCCAGTGAGAAGAGGTAGATGTTTTTATCTATCAGTACCAGAGTTGGAAGACGGTAAAAAGCATTTCCTGACAAGCAATGTTAAATGGACAGAGAAACAGAGCTGAACATGTTCAGAGTAAATGATGTATTGAATCCAAAGCCGTCTGCTCTATGTTATAAATAAATAATAAAAAGATCTAACAAAAGGCAATGATTTCAAGACTGAAGTCAAATCTTGGGATTCAAATGACACTAAACCACTTAACCAAGATTAAAAGGTATGAAAAAACTGCCGGGAAATACCATTAGAGGAGATAGGGGTGAAAAATGCAATGTTTTGCATTGTATTCAGCACTGGTAATAATTAGAACATCATCAAATTCTCTTCTGTTATCATCCCAGTCAATAACTGCCTGAGACTGAACACTCACCCAACTAAAAGTAAATGGTTGGGCCCAAAGCCTCTTGATATAATAATCCTTGCATTTGTTATAATGCTTTTCACACCTTCTAGATGTCTTAAAGCGTTTCACAGAATATACTGTAAAGTGAATTGACTGCATGTTTTGTGGGCAAATCCGGCAGCCAATTGGACACAGCAAAGTCCCACAAACAGTCGTGGATTGAAGTGACCAATTTTATTATTGTATTTTTTTTCTGGAGGGATTATTATCAGGTGTGTGGAGTAAGGAAACTTGTCCAAGGTTTCGCCCTGCTGGGAATCGAACCCAGGTCTCACGCTTGCAAGGCGAGTGCTCTAACCACTGAAACTTGTTGTGGCTATCGAGCAGGCCGTCCCACAGATCTCAGCATTTCAGCTCCAGTTCACAGAATACCGGCTAACCTCAACTTTTAAGAGTTGAACCTGCTGTTTAGACGAGGGTCAGGATGAACAGAGTGCATCTAAATGTAGATAGCTGAGTCTTCAGGTAATACACCAAAAAAAAAGGGAAGGGGATAGAGGGAACAAGCAGAAGTGTGGGGTAGGAGAAATATAGGGATTTATAGTTGAAGGTGAGCATCTGAAAGTCGAACCCCTTGGAAGACGTGAAACTGAGGTCCCATCTGCCTGTCAGGCGAACATTAAAGATTCCATGGTACTTCTTGAAAAGTTTCTCCCAGTGTTCTGGCCAACAATCCCTGAAATAAAATTGATCATGTACTTTGTGGCTGTTTGTGTGATATTGCTATGTGCAAATTGACTACTGTTGCTCACCTACAAAATGCGTAGTGACTGCACTTTACAGTAAATTCTGTGAAGTGCTTTGAGACGTTCTCCTGATGTGAAAGGCTCTCTTATCAAATGTAAGGATTATTTTAGCAGTGATAGGGTGCAATAAGATTATTTTATTTAAGAAAATACTAAAAATTCAATTTTAACTAATGGAAGTTAAGTGTTGCCACAGTGACCTTCGAATTCATGTCATACACGGGAACATAAAAAGAATCAAATGAGCAAAATATACTGTCCTCTGTTATTGTGCCGCTTACCACAGACTGCTTGCTTGCCACCTGCTGGTTCAACAGAGAAACATACAGCAGTTGGAGAAAATAATGGCGCACAGCCCAAAGCAAAAGTGATCAGAATTGAGTACGATTGATGAATTAACCCCAATTGGCCCAAGTGTCACCCTGTTCTCTGTTGAGTGCTTGTCAATTCTAATAGTAGCAAAGTAATTCATTGAGTCACCTTGCTCCCTCCCTTGTCTCCTTCAAGGCATGACTCAAGACCCCTCCTTTTTGACCGTGGCTTTAGCCATCCTCCTAGCCTCTCTGCCTGCCCTCCTACCTCTCTGCCCTCCCTCAACCCAACCTCGTCTCCTCACGCTCGTCTCCTGATCCTCGACTGTTCAGCGCCTTGGGACGTCCTCCCGACATGAAAGGCACTTTACAAATGTAATTTTGTTGTTGTTACACTGTATTCAAATATTCAAACACTGTATTCAGCACAGAGAAGTTTTACTAAACTGATTGAGAGATGGTATTTAGGTCACAGAGTCTGATTTTGGATAATACAACAACAAATTTACATTTATATAGCACCTTTCATGTTTGATAGATAGCCCAAGGTGCATGGTTTGACCCTGGTTGGTTGACACCAGGAATGTGGAGTTATATTTATGGTGACAGGTTCAAAGAAAATTGGGCTGTTTTCCCTGGAACTGAAGTTAACTGGGGATTTAATATAGACTTTTAAATTATTATAAGATTTTGCCAGAATAAATAGAGGATTATTTATACCTGTTGGTAAATTGACGATTTAATAATGCCTTTTTTAAATTCTTCTTACAGGTTATTGAGACTTTATCAAAGTTGTCCCACACATTAATAGCACAAACTACTGGGATAAGGTAAGTGCTAGAATATATTTTCATAATTTAGGTTCTGTTACATGTATCAGTTGCTTTTTTTGGTACAAATCAAGCGCAGATGAGACAAGATAATTCTTTGTTCTCCTGCCACCACAATCAACATGTTCCTGTATATTGTGTAGTTACGTCAACTGGTTTGGGGAGATTTCTTTAACACAGCCATGATACTGTGGGTTTCTGCTGCTATTGTGACATCTTTTGCACAGCACGTATGGCAGATGGACAGTATAATACTGCTAGTGTTTGTGTCCCTAGTCTCTTAAATGGCACTAGTACTGAGACCTCCTGGGAGAGGTTGTTTGTACCTGCGACTTAGCACATTGGCTGCGGTCAAAAGCTGTTGCTGATTGAGAGGGTGTCACCCTAAAATAAGCCTGTGACACCTTCGACAAGTGAGTATTACTTGTAGACAGCTTAAGACGTACAAATGCTTCTTGGACGACAGATAAATGATTTAAGACACCACAGAAGAAACAAATAAAGATGAACTTTAAACTGTGCCATGACTCTTTGAAGATTGAAATAACACTCATTGCCAATGAGAATTTTATATTCATGAAAGTGCAGAACTTTGTGATAAGCATTGCAGAGCTAACAAAGGCATTTTTGCGCTGCATAATGTTGTATGCTTGCCCAGGTGCTCACACATATATACGAGGTGTTGATGTGTGGCCAAAATATTAATGCACAAAAGGCCCAGGCCACTGATACATAGTTTTGGCCTTCAAATGATGTGGGTGGAGTGATAATTCACATTTCAGGCTCCCACATCTTTCTGGCTTCACACCAAGAAAGTGAAGCCAGGATAAGTGACATCCAAAACTCAGTATCTAATAAAACAAAAGAATTCAAGTCAAAAATAATATTTCTTTTCTGATTTAAAAAAAAGTACAATGGTCAGATTCAATTCTGATTTCTCACCAAACACCGTAGAGTAGGAGTCATTAACGGAAGTTAGTTTTTTGGTGCCGTTTTCACAGTGGATTTTATTCCAATGATTTCTACCCTGCCTTGGAGTACAAATTATTGAAGGGCAGCAGAACCTGGTTTCTTCTCTAATCACCCACCACCGTGAATTCACAATCCCTATTCAGTTCCCTGCTGAGTGGAAACATGGTACCTTCTCAGAGACATTGGGTGAAAAATCAGTGGGTGAAGCAACCCAGATTGATTTTCACCGCTCTGCCACTAGTCAGTTTAGAAACTGCTTTTTAACTTTCTCTGTGTGCAACTGGCAGCCCCATTAGCAACATGATATTAAATATTAAATAATCCCCAACACTGTTCAAAAGCAGGAAGGGGAAGGTAATTTCTCCTCTCCTAATATCCTGCCCAAGACTCCAAGAAGGCTGTTTGTAGGATATTGTTGCTCACAAACCGGCTGACAGCAAACCTGCTGTGAGATGTTTGATGACATGATAAGGAGTTATATCAAGTGCGAGTTGTTTTTATTATTTCAGTGCGAGCCTGCAGGTTTTGTACCATATGACTGTCTGGCAAGATATAACTACTAACACAAAATGACCCAGATTGAAATGTACACAGTACATTTACTACTGTGTAGTAAAGTCCCATAATACAGATTTATGGGAAAGGTGTCAAAGATATAACTGTGCTGTTGGGATTCATGATATGGTTATACAGTGCTCAAGGTTTGCTCTTTTTAATGCATCATTTGAAGTCCTCCGTGAGTTTATTACTTCATATTATCTGTTATTTTCCTACGTGCATTTTATTTTCAGGCCGTTCCCAACTGAGGAAAGTGTGGCCGATGAAGATGTCTACAAGACCTTAGCCGACCTATTAGAGTACGTATTAACTTCAATCATTTTGATTATTTCTTCTGAATAATACTGTCCAGAGGAAAACAAAAGAGCAGCAAATGAAAACTGAGAGACAAGAAAAAATACATGTCATCTTTAAAATGAACGTTTAATTAAATATGGAAATTATTGATATATTGCCAGGACCTAATATTTGCCTGGAACTGATTTTTTTTAAAAAATTGTGCTTGTTAGCTTTGTATGTTTGTATCTCTCTCTTTGTTCACTTTTTATTCTCTGTTTATTTGCTGCTATCCCTCTGCTTTGTCTGTATCCTTTGGTTTTTCACGTTCTGTCATTCTCTGGTTCTGTCTTTATTTCCACACATTCCTTTGTGGCTTTGTCCGAGTGTCCTCAGCAGCCACATCCAACAATCTATTACTGGTCCTCCGACACCTCCTCTCCCCTTCCACTACCTCACTAAACACACTTCTAATACTGCGTGGCCTCTGAGCACAAATGAAGCGTCTTGAACTGCTTAAAGCAGCATGTGGACAACCTACACTGCTGTTCTCATTCTCCTCTGAACAGCATCATATTACAAGCGACCATCTGTGCTTTCTAAATAGTGGCTAATGGAGATGCCCTCCCACCCTCCCTCCTTGCACAATTTCCAATCCCAGTGTGAAGAAAGAAAAGATTAAAATGTTCCACAATGTTACGACCAGGACCTTTGATTAACAGTTAATACAATTGCTGTGACCTTAGGAAAATTCACAAACGAGAGCGGCTGAGGGGTTTTGCATCTGGGGACGTAAACCTTTCCTGCCATAATAGGTACTCAGGAGCCTTAACTGAAAGGTCCTGTGCAGTGATTTAACTATAACTCAGTTTGAGTACAAACACAGGCACAAACTAGTTGGGATGAATGGTGTTTCTGTGTAGGATTGTTCTATGCAGTCCGTTTATAGATTTATTTAATTTTTATAAAAATGTATCAAAATGGAGTGTCTTATCAAATTTCCAAAATGTATGTAGTACAGTTAAGGAACTTAGGTATCATTTCTGAGCTTATTTTTGTTTGGTGTGCCAAGATAACTGATTTTAAATTATACAATGTCCTTGGCCCCATCCTTGGCCCCCTCCTCTTTCTGATCTACATGCTCCCTCTTCGGGATGTAATCCGCAGACATCGGGTACATTTCCACATGTATGCGGACGACACCCAACTCTATTTTGCCACATCTCTTTGTGACCCCCAGTCCCCTGATGTTCTGTCAGCCTGCCTGTCAGATCTCAGGGGCTGGATGAGTGCAAATTTCCTTCAGCTGAATGTTGACAAGACGGAAGCCATACTTTTTGGCTCTCGTCAACATCTAAAATCTCACGGCTCCCACCTCCTCCACCTACCCAACCTCCCCCTAAAACCCTCCGAACCCGTATGCAACCTAGGCGTCAGGTTCGACCCCCAATTATCCTTCCTTCCCACATCCGGTCCCTCACCAGCACCGCCTTCCACCTCTGACGCATCGCCCGTCTCTGCCAATACCTCTCTCTGAAAGCCGCTGAAACCCTAGTCCATGCCTTTGTCACCTCTTGGCTGGACTATTCTAATGCCTTTCTCACCAGTCTCCCATCCACCACCATCCATAAAATCCAGATCATTCAAAACTCTGCCGCCCGCATTCTCACCTGCACCAAACTCCGCTCCCTGATCACCCCGGTCCTTGCCAGACTGCACTGGCTGCCTATCCCAGAGAGGATCGACTTCAAGATCCTCACCCATGTATTCAAATCCCTCCACGTCTCTGCACCCCCCTACCTCTCTGACCTCCTTTCTCTTCAAAACAGTACCCGTTGCCTTCGTTCCTCCAGGTCTGGCCTCCTCCTTGTCCCCCGAGTCCTCCGCTCTACCCTTGGCTTTTTGCTGTTACTCCTGGAGATTTCTGGTCCTGCAATAAGACTCTCCGAAAAACATGGGGGGAAAAAAAGTCTCTTTCACCATTTTTTTCTCTGCACGAAGTGTGGGAAAAAACATCTTGACGTATGGAGTGGTCTTTTCACTTTCAATGCTAATATCTACTTGCAGGGAAATGTTAACTCAAAGAAGGTGTTTTTTTTGTAGGAGATTGGGGGTGTTAAATATACCCACAAAAGATTGTAATTTGAATTCAGAAATGACACATGATTGCAGTCACTGTTCTATACATGTTCTGGTTTTTAGAGCCAAGAACATACACTTTATTATTGCATACAGCCAGAGCCTTCTCCATCCCCTAGCGAGCACATTGTTGGAGCAGGAAATATAAATCCTGTTTCCTGCTGCTGATTGCTTCAAGGCTGGAAGCTATTCCTAATCAATCTCAGCAGCTGAAAGAGGGCAAAGAGCAACAAAACGTGAGTCTAAAACCTAGGGGCTGGATACTGACGGCAACTGGTTCACATACTATTCCACCCTGAAAAGCTGAACTAAAAACAGAAATCCACAACAAGTCTGTCTGAAAGAGAAACCGGAGTATCATTTTGCGAGAGAATCTTCCTCAGAACTGGAATCACTGGGCGAGAGATGAGACAAATAAGACCTGTCGCAGAAAACAAAGCATTGGTTACAAATGGCACGGTCACTACACTTTACAGAAATGCTGCAAAGCTTTAAAGCATTTTAAGTGTAATATCAAATGCAAGGATTATTATAAGTGCAAAGATTTGAAAATTCAGGATGGATTAGCAAGAGCGCCAGAATCTTTGCCTGCGGGAGGTGTGGGCAAAATGGCACTTAAAAAAAAACTAGTTAGACCCCTGACAGCTGATTTTCATCACTGATGGTAGGTGGTATTTAATTTTACAAAAGACAGGCTCATTATTTGGAACACTAAATTCACTGCCACTTATATTTAAACATGTTATTACCCAAAAGTGCAAAAAAGCCCAACTCCAGCGCTTTACATGGTAGGATTAATATTTAAGTTTCCCAACAAGTTTAGGAACAGCATTTAAGGAAACACAAAAAAATGATTACACAATTTATCCTCATTTTTATTTTTAGCTTCCCACTGCCCACTGTGCCTCCCATAGGGAAGCCTCCTCTGTTCAGGAAGGTGGGCAATGGACAACTCCTCCTTGGTCACGTCACCAGGTCCCAGTGTGTTGAGTCAGCAATAAATATGGGAAACCGAATGCTTGACTGCATTGACAAAGGTGTTGGATTTAGACTCCCCAGAAAGTGCTCTTTGGTCAGACCAAATCTGAAGTATTGTGTCGTGTTCTGGTCACCGTGATCCTGCCCTCAGGAGAGAAAGGGAGAAGTTTGAAGGAGGAACAATTAACAGCCTGTTAATACACATCTATTCAATTCAAGATACTGAAGGCAATCTCTCTTCTTTTGCAGTGAAACTGGAGTGGATGAAGACGATGAACTATATGACTGTGTATATGGTGAGGATGAAGGTGGTGAAGTGTACGAAGATCTAATGAAAGCAGAAGCAGCACAACCCCCTGTATGATCGTCTTTTCAAATACTTGGTTTTAAATTTATTAAACCGTACACTATTTAATGAAATATAAGAGCAAGAAATAGAAATCTATTTTATTATTCCATCTTTCTATTTTGCACAGTTTCATAAATCAGTCATAATACTGTTCCATGATATATGAATTATCACTGATCGGTTTGAGTTGCTCCAAAGCACAGCACATTGTGGTGGAATGGTAGTGTACAAGCTTGTAGTCATTATTTCCCACGTTCTTAGTTCCTGGTCTCTAATGTTCTACCGGGTAGTGACAATCCGTGGCATTCAGCTACTTCCGCAAGATTGGATGCTAGAACAGAGAGTCATTTAATGCAGCTTTAACACATCTTTTGGGGACAAGTGAAAGAAGAACATTTGTTGACTACGTGTTTGCTTTTGTGGCAGTCTTATGGCGCTATGATGTGGAAGTCGTAAAGGTGAAGCAGAAGCTTTTTTTAAAATTGAAAACAATTCAGATATGGTAAAAACGCCTTTTTGTGAATCACCTTCCAAGTAAAACAGCCAGGTTAAGAATCATTTTCTATAGTCAGTACACACAAAGTTTTGAAATTGCATTTCAGCAAATCTGTTATTTTTTTCTCTAGCAAAATCAAAGCTTTTTGACTGGGCTTAATGAGTACACCCTCCCCTATGTTACAAATTCAAAGTAAAATATTATTGGACAATTTTTTTGCATTCTAATAATCCAACATCTTTATGCCTTTTATGAGGTGTCTAGTTTATAGATCTGCTACTTCAAAAGAATAGAATCTAATTAGCAGTTTTTTTCTAATGGGATTTCTCCTTAGAATTCCCTTTGAACTACGGATATTTGCAAGTAAATTATGTTGGAGTGTAGTTTCAACGTGAGCGTGATGTACTTCTGGTTACTGGAAAGAGTCTCCATTTACACAGCATTGATTTGTTTTTAAAGAATGAAGTGATGTGCAATAAAATTAGTACATTTATTTTTTGTGGCTTCCAGTTACATTTCGACTGGAAAGCGGAAGAGGAATTAACATTGTATAGCCAAAATCCCTTTAACATAGTTCTCGATGTTACTACTGTGCATTCAGAGATATTCCCCTGTATGATATTTTGAATTACTGTTGAATTGCATTTTGTGTAACTCATTGTCTGACGACTGTATATAGAAGCTGACAGAAACTGACATCCGGAGCTGCTGCCTATTAGAAATAAAACAAACAGAAGAAAAATACACAGAAACTCTGGAGTCTATAGAGAAAGTAAGTAATATGGAAATAATGTTTCATCGGTTATTTTCTCTGGTTTTCTACACTGACCTTCCTACTGGAGCCAATGACTCATACTAGGGTATGGTATGGTTCGAAGAAGGATAGCTAGTTAGTGCCACTTTGACCATGTATAGTGCACGGATAGTGTATGTCAATAGGCCATTCAACTCTAGGGAGGGTTGTCACTGTTTCATCAATACTATTGATGGATGGCATCACTAGGGATTGCAGGATACCAATCTGGATTTAGAAATCTAGACAATTATTGCCTTCTCTTTCCCAGGGGATGTGGAAGTTATGACCACTGACAGCCAGCTGATATTGATCAACATTAACTCACAGTGGAGATCAAATCTCAGACCTTCCCAGTATTTGTAGGCTCAGAGACGCACCAAATTTACCCATAAAGGGATTGGAGGAGGGTTGGCTGTTGGAACTAATTGAAATGTTTTAGGAGGGTAAAACAGTGTATTGCTTGGCGTTTCAAAGCTCTGTATCACAGAAAAGTAGGACTTGACCCATTGTCTGGAATTCTCTGCATCAAAAGGTCATCTTGACAAGCCCATCAAACGGAAATGCTAAACATTATGAGGGAGGGAAGCAGGAAAAGCTGAATGGTGCATTAACTAAAGAGCTACACAAGCAGAGAGCATTTTGTAAGGCTGCCTGGAACACAATGAGGCAAATGCGTGGTACACATCTGGATCTATTATGTTACTGCCTTGTGATTTGTTCTGCATTACATTTTTTCTTCCAGTAAAGAATGTTTTCTTGTGTCCTTTATACTATCATAGCATGCTATCAGGAGAATTCTCTATTAATAATAATAATTCTTGCATTTGATATAGCGCTTTTTCACGTTGGGAGGACGTCCCAAATCGCTTCACAGAACACACTGTAAAATGAATTAACTGTATATTTGTGGGCGAACGCGGCAGCCAATTGCGCACAGCAATGTCCCACAAACAGTCGTAGATTGAAAATGACCAATTTATTATTGTTTTGGGGTTTTGGAGGGATTATTATTAGGCTCTGTGTGGAGTAAGGAAACTTGCCCAAGGTTTTGCCCTGCCTGGAATTGAACTCAGGTCTCTCGCTTGCAAAGCGAGTGCTCTAACCACTGAGCTACAGGACTTATGTTCAAATAACCCTGCTATATTGCATCGCAAATATTATGTGACAACAGGTTCAATATCTCCAAAATTTACTTTACAGTATTTTATGTGTCCGCTGAGAAGATTTTTATCTGCTGCAGATATTGAAACAGTTTTCATCAACGTTGAGGTTAGTGAAATTATTTCTTTATCATTGTGGAAATTATCAAAAAAAAGGCACATGAATTTGCATTCCTATAAAAATTAGTCTAAGATGACACTCCAATGTAGTGCTGGGGGTGTGTTTCACTGTTGGAAGCGCTGTCCTTCAGATGAGATGTTAAATCAAAGTCCAATCTGCCTATTCAGGTGGATGTTAAAGATCCTATGGCACTATTTGAAAAGAGAAAGGAGTTTCTCTCGGTGTCCTGACCAACAATCCCTAAATATATTTTTGTGTCAGCTTTGCTGTTCATGGAACCCTATTATTTTGCCTCAACATGAGTTGTGACGTTGGATGGATGAATATTCCATTTTGGAGATTTTGTTTGGTTAAGTTTGAGGTAGTAGGAGTATCTATCTAATAACATGGGAGATGAGTGTGAGTTAGGACCTCATTAACACAGGTTTTTCTTTGGCTGTGAAAGAAGCAGCTAAGTGTTTGTTTCCTCATCCACACTTCTTTACGTTCTTTTCTTTCACTAAAATAATTAACTTTATGAATAGATTTTAAACTTCAGAATTGGAGTCCTTTAACCTCTATACCTCAATATACGTTATATTCTCTCAACTTTTCAACCTCGGCATTATCCAGAACTGTCTACTTTGGAACTTTGAGGTTTCTCAATAAAACGTACTGATGTATTGACTTCAAATACTGCACGTGAAGATACATGTGTAATAATTTTACCTGCACTAAAATCTTATTTTTTTTCTGAAACAATTTACCCAGGCACTAGTTAAAGTCCACAAAGCCCTGATGGTGGATATCAGAAATGCAATTATAACTAAAAATGACCAGAATCTCTTTCAAATATTCATTGACTATAAAGAAAGGTAACATCTTTCCCATTTTCTATACTTTATAAAAATATTTTAAATCTTGTTTTAATATCATTAGAACTGGGTAGGCAACTGATTGAATAATGGTAAATGTTAAATATTTGCAGTGTGCATCCAGTATTACACAATACATTTTAGTTTAATATTTGCTCTTGATTGGTAATTTGAAGGAAAACAATCAACTTTGGAACAGTTGAACACTTGTTCAGGTGTGCTGTAAGATGCTTTGCAAGGTGGAAAAGCTATTGGATATTAAAGAAATGTTTGTGCTATGTTTATCTCTTATCCTTGATGGTACTGATATGATTCAGTAATGATACCAAGAAAGTAGAATCATGTTCTTATGGTGCAATATAACTTATTGTTGTGCTATGTTGCAATCTCAGTCACTAATGTGGCCAGATTATGTAAGCACCAGAAATGTGTTTTATATTTGCTGTGCTGCTAACAGTTGCCCAAAACCACAACTTTGTCAGCTGTGCTGAGTAAGAATGGCTATTGTGCGTCAGTGTACTTGAGCAGCTATTTCCATCCCACCTGCCCAGCATTATCTATTTTAATTCTTTCATCTGTATATAAAATTGAAATTTTGATGTAATGTCCAATTGTACCTTCACAAAAAGCCAGGGACCCTTATTTAAAAAGTTTGTGAACAAACAGAAGAGATTGGCACGGTGTCACACTGTGGTCATGATCTTTTTTTATACCACTGCTCCTAGCCTGCCCTACTCTTGCTAGCATGCAGTTCAACTACTGCTGGTTGCCCACTGCTACTCCATCACATACATGTACAACCAGCAGAGATTGCTGAACAGGGATCAGGAGCAGGAACCCTGTTGATTTTCACTTCCCTAATCCTAAGAAGGCCAGGACCAATTTAGTAGCCTGGTTGAGACCAAGACCTTGCTGGTTCAAACCCCGATCTATGCTCAGCCCAGATCAGGGTTTAAACCAGCAAGCTTCTGATCCAAAAATTCTGGCTCTATCCATTACTGGATTGAGATTGTCTTGGCTACGTGGTTTTGTTGGCTTAGTCACAATCATCATAAAAAAAATGTTTTTGGAACTTCAGTGTCATCCCACCCCCAGATCTGCAGTACAGTAGGTTCCTCCAGTGTTGGCACAGTGTAGGGAAAAAGACAAACTACTGTCAGTAGAACAACAACTTACATGTATTTTGCATTCTTCACGCAGAGTAGCGGCTCGGAGCATCTTAGTAACACAAATACAACAAAGTTGCATTGCTTCCTCTACGCTGTTGTGGAGGCTTTTACTCATTTTACTGTATAAAGTGACTTATTCTATCCACAGGTTGCTTATTTACGGTGAGTACTGCAGTCACGTGGAAAGAGCAATAAAATCTTTGGATGATATCAGTAAATCAAGGGAAGATGTCCGATTGAAGTTAGAGGTAATTTGCTTTCATTTTGTTGCAAATTTTAGGTTTACACACTTTGATCTTTATATGGTGGACATTAAACTAACCATATGCTAATTTAATATTAATATTTCATAATACAAGATGTGCTACGATGTGAAGTAATGTGCTGTACACTTTTATGAGCAACTGATGTGGCTGCACAAAACATTTGTCAGATCCAATGAAGCAGTGGAGTATTAGATACTACATCTTGGTTAGAAATGGCCCAGAGGACTTTAAAAATAATTAATGAAAGTGTCCTTGATAGAAATCCACTTATTTTGAAACGTTATTTTGGTCAATGCAAGGAATTTTTGGAAGAGAAGACAGTCACATTAAATTGTATTAAAGTGGAAATTTTGAATCTTCAATAATACATTGCAGTTAAAATGAAGTTATTCCATCTGGTCAGTCATTAATATCAATTCAGCTGGTACATTCTTATTTGAATAGGATAAAATGTTAAGTACCAAATTTTCTTCAGAAATTCTTTCCAATTTAATTTCTCTCCAAAGGCAGAAATGTCCACTTGGTATCATTAAAATAATATCAGTTCTCATTTTCAAATTTGCTGAGAATTTACAATTTAACGAAGAAGTTATCAATCATAACCTGTTCCTTGCAGACCGGCAAACGATTTAAAAAGCTCTGAAAATGAGTCGCCTGAAAGCAATACTGATTTGATGCATTATTTGTGACTTGGCATGATCTTCATTAAGTGCAACTTACACACATTAATTTGAGCTGCAAGTAGAGAATTGCAATGTGTTGTTCCACACTGAGTGTAATCAAACCCTAATTGCTTTATATCTGCAAGTGTCCTTATACATATTTGCGGTTTTCAGGCTAGCTCGGCTGGTAGCATTCTTGCGTCTGGGTCAGAAGGATGTGGTTTCAAGCCCCTGGTTTCAAGGCTGATGTTGTATTCCAAAACAATGTTGGCAGTGAGCTGCATTAATGGAGATGCTATCCTATAGATGAGACATCTCATCTGCCTTTATAGGTGGATGTTAAAGATTCCATGAGATTATTTGAAAAGAGAAGGGAGATTATGTAGCTTTCCTGGCCAATGTTCAGCCAGATAAAATTGATCATTCACTTCCTATTGCTACATTTACTGCTAAATTGTAATATGCAGACAAATATAAACCTACGATTGTTTATTGCATGCTAGGAATGTGCCAAGAGAGCAAACAATGGGAAATTTACATTGCGAGATCTTCTGGTTGTACCTATGCAACGAGTTCTGAAATATCACTTACTGCTTCAGGTGAGTTAATACTGTACAACTTTGACTTCAAAACCTACCTACTGGGAAGTAAAACCATAAAGTTAAGTTCTTCATCTCTGTGAGGTTAGCTGCCATTTTAAATCCATAAATATGCACTTTATATATGTACATGTATATTATATATAAATATATACATGTACATCCTGTAGCTCAGTGGTTAGAGCACTCGCTTTGCAAGCGAGAGACCTGAGTTCAATTCCAGGCAGGGCAAAACCTTGGGCAAGTTTCCTTACTCCACACGCCTAATAATAATCCCTCCAAAACCAAAAACAATAATAAATTGGTTATTTTCAATCTACGACTGTTTGTGGGACATTGCTGTGCGCAATTGGCTGCCGCGTTCGCCCACAACTATACAGTCAATTCACTTTACAGTGTGTCCTGTGAAGCGCTTTGGGACGTCCTCCCGACGTGAAAAGCGTCATATCAAATGCAAGATTTATTATTATTATATAATTTACATAACACCTCCAAGTGCAAAACAGTCATTGATAGTAACAATTCCCTCCTTGTGTACTTGGCAGAAAACCTATTGCTAGAAAAGGTCAGAAAAGTGCAATGTGTACATTCAGCAAAATGTTAACAGCAATCTAATTGGTGGCATTCGCAAACTGCATTTGCTGTATTAATTGCAACTTCAGGTTCAGGAAATATCAGATTGTGAAATTCACAAACAATGAATGATGAACTCCAAGTCAGCAATGTTTAGAGGAAATAAAGGCCACCGAGGAAACAGGATTGGTCTTCGATGATGTGGAAGATCAAACTTATTTTCCCTCTGGCTGAGGTTTCACTGTTCTGCGACACCTTCCTGAGTGAAATAGCTTCAATAAGTAGAAGGAGATTCAGTGACTAGTGTAAATTCATTGGTAAATGCATAGCATCCCTAATTACATTCTACAGTTGTTATCATACAACCGCATTAGACAACTTTAATCTGTCATTGAAAGATGATAGATAGTGTGGGTAATCTTGAAGGATCAGATCAGATTGACCAAAGGTTCCTCCTTATTATCTAAATAACTGAGGTAGTAACTGGATTCTGTGGTTGCAAACATTTTGTATGAAACATTGTTACTGCTGAGCATATTCATTGTTATTAAGAGAACTTATCTGTCTCAAGATTGTTTATTTCCTATCTCTTGCCTTTCCTACTCTTCACCTCACCGAGCCAATCCGAAACCTCGGTGTCCTTTTCGACCCTTAGCTATCCTTCAAACCCTACATTCGTGCTATGACTTTCTGCCTCTCCACACCTCCGCAACATTGTCCGTCACTGCCTCTCACCATAGGCCGCCGAGACTCTGATCCATGCTTTCTCGGCTTGACTACGCCAATTGCCTGCTCACTGGATTTCACAACTCTTCCCTCCACAAGCTGCAGATTATTCAGAGCTCATGTCCTCTCCCGCAACAGGCTTCGGGAACCTATCACCCCTGTTCTTGCCTGGCTTAACTGGCTCCCCATTCCTCAGAGAATCAAGTACAAAACCTTGGTTCTTACCTTCAAGGTCTTGCTCTCCACTATCTCTCTGACCTCATAACCCCTCATCAGCCTATCCGCTCCTTTTGCTCGGCGGACACCGGCCTGCTTCAGGTACCCCGCACTTCCTGCACTACTATTGACGGTCAGGCTCTGAAACTATCCCGAAATCCCTCCGACTCACCCCCTCTCTTGCCTTCTTCAAGTCCTGTCTAAAGACCTTCCTCTTCAATTGTGCCTTTGGCTACTCTCAGACCCCCAACCCCCTGCCCTCCTCCCCTTCTGAACCTAACTCCCAGCTCGGGTTCAAAACCTCTGATTGTCCAGTGCCCTGGGATGTCTTCCCAATGTGAAGTGCTCTATACAAGTGTAATTTGTTGTCCACATATATGCGGATGACACCCAACTCCATCTTTCTGCCTCCACCCTGAAATCCAGGACCACTGCTGTCCTGACAGTCAGACATCAAGTCCTGGATGAGGGCAAAATTCCTACGGTTGATTGTGAACAAGACTGAGGCCCTCCTGATTGGCTCGTGCCAGCGCTTCTGCACCTCAGGCTCTGGCAACATCAACCTCCACTACACACTACAACTCACCAAACCAGTCAGGAACCTAGGTGGCTTGTTCGACCCTCAATTTTCTTTTCTTCCCCACATACAAGCCATGATCCGCTCTGCCTTCCCTCACCTCCGCAACATCACCCGACTCCGCCACTATCTCAACCCTCAGGCCGCTGAAACTCTTGTTCATGCCTTCATCACCTCCAGGCTCGATTATGCAAATGCCCTGCTTGTCGGCTTTCCCAACTCCTCCCTCCACAGGCTGCAGATAATCCAGAACTCTGAAGCCCGTGTCCTCTCCCGCATCAAACTCTGGGACCCCATCTCCCCCACTCTCACCTGACTCCATTGGCTCCCTATCCTTCAGAGGATTCAGTTCAAGATCCTGATCCTCACATACAAAGCCCTCCATGGCCTCGCCCCACCCTACTCTGCAACCTAACCCCCTACCAACCCGCCCATTACCTCCGCTCAGCGGCTCTGGCCTGCTCCACATCCCACGACCCACCCGCCCCACCATTGGCGGGAGAGCCTTCAGCCACTCTGCCCCCAACCTCTGGAATTCCATCCCCAGTCACTCCGCCTCACCCCCACCTTAGCCTCCTTCAAGTCCCGCCGCAAGGCCCTCCTCTTCGATCATGCCATCAGCCACCTCCCTTCCCCTCCCCTCCCTTCTCCCCCCGACCCCAGTTCGGGTCTGAAATGCTGTACACTATCCAGCGCTTTGGGATGTCCTCCCAGTGTGAAAGGCACTATACAAATGTAATCTTGTTGTTGTAATTTGTTGTCGTCGTATCAGATTACTCTTGTTTTATCATTAAACACAGGAACTGATGAAGCACACCACTGATCAGCAAGAGAAGGCTAATTTGCGTTTAGCACTAGATGCTATGAAGGTGAGAATTCAATCAAACCAGACAGAATAGAAATAACTCTCTAACAAAATTATAGTCCCAAGGCGCTGGACAGTCAGTGTTCTAAGTTCTAAAGTAGCATTTCTGCATAGCTAATGTATTCCCTATATATATATATATTGATAGAGGTAATTTGCAATCACTTCCAGCATTGAATTGATTTGGAGTAGGAAGCAGAAACAATCATGTAATGCACGCCCAGAAGTGCCTTGCCGTTGATTTGACGTCTCCACACCGAATGCACTTTTGTCAATTTACATGAGTTTGCTTCCTGTCTTTGTAGGACTTGGCTCAATATGTTAATGAAGTTAAGAGAGACAACGAGACTCTTCGGGAGATTAGCCAATTTCAGCATTGCATTGAAAATTTGGTACGTTGGTATATACTTAGCGTAACTACAACATTTCTGGGGGGTGGGGGGGGCAAATTTTGTAGCAATGACTTCACTTGTTTTATGCTTGTAATAATTATAAATACTGTCGTTAATTTAGAACCAGTCTCTTTCAATCTACGGAAGACCAAAAGTGGATGGTGAGATACGGGTCACTACATTAGACAAACGCACACGCCAGGAAAGGTGAGAAATAATAATAATAATCCTTGAATTTGATATAGCGCTTTTCACGTCGGGAGGACGTCCCAAATCGCTTCACAGAACACACTGTAAAATGAATTGACTGTATATTTGTGGGCGAACACGGCAGCCAATTGCGCACAGCAATGTCCCACAAACAGTCGTAGATTGAAAATGACCAATTTATTATTGTTTTGGGGTTTTGGAGGGATTATTATTAGGCGTGTGGAGTAAGGAAACTTGCCCAAGGTTTCGCCCTGCCTGGAATTGAACTCAGGTCTCCCACTTGCAAAGCGAGTGCTCTAACCACTGAGCTACAGGACTCCACAAATAGACTCCAGAAATAGACAAAAGGCAAAATACCTCAGATGCTGGAAATCTGAAATAAAAACTGAATTTGCTGGGAACACTCAGCAGGTCAGGCAGCTTCTGTGGAGACAGTAAAGTGGGTTAACATTTCATGTTGATGAGGCATTTTAACAGCAACAGTACAGATCTGAAAATCCCTTTATTTAAATGTTTTAAGAGTACACTGTGCTGCTTATGTTGCCTGAGACTTGACATAGGCAAACGGTAGACAGTGTTCTCTGTTTTCATTTTCCTGGTAGCAGGACTATTGAGACAAAAACAGAAGTCACTGGGAACACTCAGCAGGTCAGGCAGCATCTATGGAGAAAGGAAAGTGAGTCAACGTTTCGGGTCCACGACGCTTTGAGATTTAACGTTTCAGTCATTTGCAGTCTGGAAATTTGGTCGTTTTAACTCAATAAGAGTTGATCAATGATTTACTCTGATGACCTGCTCTGCCTCCCCCTTCTTGCACAGTTAACAATGACTTGCTAGCACACGGTGCTACCACACAGTGCTTTGTGGTTTAGTACATATTACATTTTCTCAAGTAGTAGACCTGAAATGATATTGAGATTGTGAATTATGTTAGTGTCCGAGTGCTAAATGTAACAAAAGAGGCACATAGTTTCCAAAGTAAGGCATAACCACAGACGCGGATAGTTAGATTTTTACACAAACCAGGTGCAAGCAAAGCGTGGCACTGCACTGGTACAAAACTTTGAAAACTTGCAAGTTTCCAACAATGCTTTGTTACAATGATGAACAACTTGAGCTTCTGCAACTAAAGCTATGTGTGTGAAGCTCTTAAATTATGTTTTCTGTTTTTAATGCAGGCACATATTTCTATTTGACAAAGCTGTGATTGTTTGCAAAAGAAGAGGTGACAACTATGAAATGAAGGAAATCATTGATCTGAATAATTATAAAATCACCGATAACCCAACAACTGATAAAGAAAATAAGAAGGTCAGTAGAGGAAATTATTTCAGATGGTAAATGAATCCATTTACAGTACACAATATCTGCTGCTGTCAAATAATTAGAAACATGAATAAAGGATCGTAGTGGCATTCATCTTTACTGTATTCCTTGAGATACCAATTGGATGGCAAAATAACATTATCAGAGATAAATTCCTTCCAAAGACAGCTAACCGTGTTCAATGAATTGTTTCCTTTATTGTAGTGGTCACATGGATTCTACCTCACTCACCTCCATGGCCAGAATGGGTTTGAATTCTTTTGTAAAACAAAAGACTTGAAGAAAAAGTGGCTTGAGCAGTTTGAGATGGCCCTGTAAGTACAAACTGTATTATTGTTCCTTTGTGTGCGTACGATTAAGGACTTGTTCGTAATCTGCAGAACGGATATAGTGTATAACACTGCCTACTTTTCAGTACTGCAGCGTTAAATTTTGCAGAAGAGTACAGAATGGAGAGACCCTGTCAAATCCTGAAACTGAAAGTTGAGCATCAGTGTGTGAATACCTTGAGTCCATTCACTTATCCCTTGAACATTCTAACCACACTAACTTACATCAATAGATTCTATTGTGAGGGCTAAATGATCATAAGAGAAGTTTCGCCTATTTAATCTCATCCTTCCAAGATACAACCTCTGTCATCTTCCCATTATAGCATCAAACTGCTTCCAAATGGTGCAGTGTCCCGGCATTAACCACCCTCACTTGGAACCTATTCCAGCTGTTGCCAAATTGAAAGCATTCGACAGGCAATTGTTTTTTATTCTGTTCCATTCTGTTGCCTGCAATATACTTTAATGTCTGTAGTACTCACTGTCCATTGTCCATGTACCTATTTAAAATAATGTTACAAGTGTGGACATAAAATAAACATTCGGCTAAATATGCAGGTGTCAGTGTTTAATTTGTGTCATTTTGTAATTACAGTAAAGGGTTATCCAGCAATCTTTTTATTATCAGTTAACGGATGCTGATGGTTTTCCTGTTGGTTGAGAAGCTTGTGAGTTTATCACTTGAGCTTATATCTAATGTTGGTACCTTGATGCAGTAATTGAGAGTTCCCTTTACTGTCATTGCCCTTTGGACGAGGCATCAGATGAGGTGCTGTATTCTGGTCCTTGACAAGAAAATTCCTGCAGCACTAATAAATAAGCAATTAGTGATCCAGTCAATAGGTCTTATGATCCAGTCAATCGGTTTTCTGTCAAAAAGTAGTAATTCCAACAGAACCTTGTATAAATGATCTGCACAATGTAATTGTGCTTCACCAGTTTAATGTATTCAAATAATATCTATTTGTCAGGCAAATAATAATGTTTGTGATTCTCCTGCTGTTGACTTGGATGATGTTGACTTGTTCCATGTTTTCAGAAATTCATAGCATTGTCAGATAGTGATCTCAACATCGACTTTGTGGTCTCGCTTTAAAACCCGGAGATGAACTACTTGAATGATGTTTTTGTGTTCCATACTGTGCTTTGATCTATCATCTCAACTATATTTTTTCTGTAGGTCGAACATTAGGCCTGACAATGCGAATAGCAATCACCATGATTTCAAGATTCACACCTTTGAACGAATCACATCTTGCAAGGCCTGCTGCATGCTGTTGAGGTGAGATTCGCTGACCTGTAGACACAGAGATGGTGACACTTCAAAATTAAATCGAAGATAAAAACATTTCATCTGAAGATTTTTTGCAAAATCTACCCCAGTGACACAGTAGAGTAGAGCCCTGTTCTAACAAGATAATTGAGGGTCCCAACCAGCCATGTAACGGGGTATGAACACTCGTCAGCTCTTGCATATTGTGTCGCCACTGATCATATGACCGGCCACATCACTGTGCATGCGGGCATGTTGGTTCCCTTCACCAACCCACGAGCAGGAAGTGATATCACTGTTGACCCGATGATCCGGAAATCAGCCATCTTTTAGCACATGGGAAACAGGGCATCAATCTTATAAGTGAACCAGCATTATAAAACCTCCCAGTATAACCTTGTACAATAATCTTGAGTTTAAGAAAATGAAGTTTCTTTTAACTGACCCATGATGTTGGAAATGCACCACTGAATGCACTTAGTAAACTGATGACACCTACTGGCAGGATGTAGTTGTCTTCAGCTTTCCATTTTTTTCCATTTTGTAATCGAAAGGTACATGTATATAATTGTTAGCTCTGCTTCTAAGTAACATTTCTCAAGTCTAGTTTACTTTACCTCATCTCAATGATGAAGGTATTTTTGTACAGCAATCCAAATATCAGTAAAAGGTCTTGTCTACGTAAGTCAAGGTTTATTTTCAATTCAAGCAACTAAGATTGAAACCAAAAGAGAGAAGCGGAGATGAGAGAGAGGAGGTTTCTGAAGGAAATAACTACTTTTCACATGAAATTTCTTCAATTGTAGTGAGAAAAATATCAGGCTTACATGATAAATTAGTTAATTTCCTGGTATCTGGGATTGTTTTGGGCATCAGCTTTGCCCAGGTGGTAACACTTATTTATACAGCGCCTTTCACATTGAGAGGATATCTCAAAGCACTTCACAGAGCTGACTGGCTACTCGAGCTTGCAAGGCCAGATGGGGGAGGGGAGGGCAGGGGGCTAGATAAAGCTTTAAAAGTGTGGAAGAAGAGGGAGATGGAGGGACCCTTGGGTAGAATTCCATAGAGAGGGAACAGAATGGTTGAAAGCTCCCCTACTATTGCTCATACACCATATGGCCATCTATTTGTAGAGTGAGTTTATTACTTTTAATTTGTTCAATAACATATTCCACCAAAATCCATATTGTTTACATTGCCAGCTTGCTTTCTACATGAAGAAATCCCTTTCAGCCCTTAAGATATTTTTGGGTAGCAGTAACACATGTGGACAGATCCTCCTTAATTGGTGATGCAAGTTACCGTATGTTGTAATCTTCTATCTTGTTTGTCAGGTAAATCATTAACTGCAACACAAAATTTATAGACTTCTAATTTATCACTACAGTACATAATGAAGAACATCATCTCCTTAATAATAGCAAACATATTTGAAGGTTAATTGTGCATATCAAAGTGACGATGGCTTCTTTCTATTATTAAATCTGTGGTGTTTTTTAAATGAGCAATTCAAGTGACCAATTCCATGCTCAAAAAAGGAAAATGTCAGACAGAGTTGGCAGAATGTATTTACTTAATTTTTGCAATAAACCTTGCATCATAATATAACAATAAAAATAGTAATCATTGCATTTGATACAGCTAGCACCTTATCACATCATCAAAATGCCTCATACTTAAAGGATTTACTGTAAAGTGTAGTGAATATATTTTGTAAGCAACCAATTTACCCACAGCAATGTCCCACAAAAAAACATGAAGTGAATGGCTAATTTGATCTGGGTTATTATTGGCTGTGAGGAACTCTTGTCTGTTTTCAAGCAGTGCCATAGGATCTTTAATGTCTACCTGAATAGGCACACCTCTGTTTAATGTTTTATCCGAAAGATGATAGTCCTGACAATGTAGTGCTCCCCAAGCACTGTATTGAATTGTCAACCTGGAGACTATGAGCTCAAGGTAATGTAGTATGAATCGATGTATTATAAAAATAATTAGTAATTAGTGTTTTTGACGCTTCTTGTACAATGCTGGAATGCATGGAATTGCAACATTATACATTGTGTAATCTATAAGGTTGAAATGCAAATTATTGCTTTGGGTGATTTAATCACAGAATTCCATTTTCTTCTCAGGGGAGTGTTTTATCAAGGTTATTTGTGTTCTAAATGTGGTGCTGGAACACACAAAGAATGCTTGGGCAGACTTGGGAGCTGTGGGAAGTCGACGGCAGGTAATATTACTGCTGCTACTACCCCCAGCAAAAAAGTCCAACCCAATGTTTTGTACCAGACAAGACTGAAAACACATCTGTAACAGACAAATATCCCGTCCAAAGTGGACAAATTACATGCTCCTTCTTTTAGATCATTGTAGTTTCAAAAATATGTTTCCAGAGAAATTTTACACACTCACTATTTGCATACATTTACATACACTGTATATTCTAATTTTTTAACATAAGTTATTATTATAGTTATAATCCTTGCATTTGATATAGCGACTTATCACGTCTTTGAGCTGTCTCAAAGCGCTTCACAGAATATACTGTAAAGTGTAGTGACTGTATATTTTGTGGGCAAAATTGTGGTATCATTTTACTGACCTTCTAGAGTTATTTCAGATATTCATATCGATACAGAAGTCAAATTCTGAGCTAAGTAATGCACAAACATTACGTTACCAACGTTTGCACCCGATGTGCTCACTTCAAGTAAAGTTCAGTTCTAATATAATGACACAGGGTGAAAAGTGATGGATAAATGTGTGCACTTTAATCAAATCAGGTGCTGCCTATCTTAGCAACATACTAATGATGTCCTGAGGCTTATTCAACATCCAGACTGTATGTGTTCATGGAGGATTTAGTAAAAAAAATATTTTGGAAAAGGGCAAAAGTCTGTAAAGAAAAATAGTTTGTGAATAGTGTACTGGGCATAGTGATTGAATTTTCCAGGCATAAAATTATACATTAACAAGGAAAACAACGACCAGGTCTTCAAATAGGCTCAGCACATTCAGAGTAACTTCTATTGAATCTTTTACTCCATTTCTTTACTTTCGGTATTCATTGAAAACAAGGGGAAATTTTGCCTGATTAAAATGGAGAGAGGAAAGTTACCACTCTCACTTTTAACGGTATTCCCCAAAGGGATGCAGTATTATTCTGTCTTGTTTTCAAAAGCAAAAAGGTATTGCATAAATGAGAGAAGCAAAGACTGTAAATGAATATCTGCATTGAAAAGAAGCAATTAGCCATGAGCATGTGATCCACTACCCAGTCTTGGCCCTGCCCTGAGAAAGCAAAACAATATTCACTGCAGGTAGTGAGAGCGCACCACTTCTGTAGGTAACTGGGAGTGTGATGCAGGAAACATTCTGTTCTTGCTGAGAAACGTTTAGATTTTCCCTAATGCCAATGTTCAAATTTGTTTCAGATTCTGCAACACATAAACATGGGGTAAGTAGTGGTGCTGTTTCTTATTTTCTTGGTTTTGCAGCTTTCTGTGCCAGCTATTGTGCGTGCTAGCATTCTGCTGTAAATTGATTCTGTGCAGCTCAGTAGTGCTGAATTGTTGTTATAATGCCCTTGTTGTGCTTTGAGAATTACGCCTGTATTCATAATGGTATAGTAAATCATTTAAGTTGGAGGAAACATTTTAGGATTTAAAAGCCATTGGACTTGAGTCTTTGGATAACAAACACTTTTTTGCAGTGAAATAATTATACTTGGAGTTTTACTTTAAACATCTTTAACATTGTCCTATTTTCTTTTTAAAGAGGCAATACTGTGACTGACTGACTTGTTTTATAACTTCAAAGATGTCTATTAATGCTACCGCTAAATAAAGCATTTAAAAGACCCAGCAGAACCAGTTTTACTCAATTTTCTCCTGTAAAGTATTGAGATATTATGAAAGTAGCTTTGTTAGGAGGCTGGGACTGGAAACTCAATTTGTGTCTTAAGAGTAATGTGGAATTCTGTATAAAATAAGTTTATGTTGTTCTGCATATAACCAAAATGAGTATGCTGAAGTCCACATGGCAGCATATAATGTAAATGTTCTTAATGTGAAGAATGTTGTGATATTCATGGGAATGTTTTGTAAAATACATGATTGAGTATATATACCTTTTTTTTCTTAACTGCAGCATAGGATTAATGGACACAAAAGGCACAACAGGCATCTAGATCCAGGTAAGTTCATTTTGTTTCTGACTGAGATGCAAACAACCTTATCAGGACTAATGTTATCTCTGATCAAAATCATGTCTATTTGAATCAAACCACAAATATTGCATATTGTTTCATGAACCCCTTTGTTTGGACTCTTAACACATGTTTTGTTGTGTTGTCTCCAAATGTAATGTATTATTTAACTGCAAGCTACTAATCTTTGCAATCTATGCTGTACCAGCCTGGGGCAAAACTGGTTCAGATATACTTATGTAGCTCTCAAGCAGTGTTTTTTTTTTACACGCACACATATATATACATATACACACTTTATATATATACATACACTTTATATATATATAGATATATACACTATATATATAAAACACTGCGTAAGAACTATATATATGATATATACACACAATAAATTCTCATTCTCACTCCCCTAGGCTATTTGGGAGAACTTCACATGTACAGCACTAGTATATCTTTTGTGGTGAAGAGCAGGCAGGCACTTGAAAAACTACAACCAAAACAGGTTTTGAATCTTAATACCGTATCACTGAATTCTTGCGATGCTGCCTTCCATCATAAGTTACCAACAAAATCAATCTTATGTTACTGTTTTACCTGTTAACCCCAGCACACGTAGACTCTATCATCTGCCAACTTAATAATAATCCTTGCATTTGATATAGCACATTTCACGTCTTCTAGACGTCTCAAAGTGCTTCACAGAATATGCGGTAAAGCGAATTCACTGTATATTTGTGGGTGAAACGCGGCAACCAATTGCACACAGCAGTGTCCCACAAACAGTTATGGATTGAAAATAACCAATTTATTGTTTTGTTTTGGAGGGATTATTATCAGGCGTGTGGAATAAGGAAACTTGCCCAAGATTTTGCCCTGCCTGGAATTGAACCCAGGTGTCTTGCTTGCAAGGCGAGTGCTCTAACCACTGAGCTACAGGACTCCACATTGTTAACTTGTTAATGGAAATAAATGAGCATTCTGACTGCTTCTAATTTCACTGACAATGAATGGTACAAAATTTAGATATTTCAGGATACTTTTGGGGGAATATGCCACACCTGGAAAATATGATGTAGTTTTCCTTGGTCCCATTACATTAGCGATGTAATTTCTCCACTTGTTGACTGACAGAAAGTCACACTGAATCAGGCACTGTACAAAGTCTGAGCATAGTTCAACGAAGCAATGTCACTTCTAGCAGTCGAGCAGGTTTGAGCACGAAGCCTGATGCTTCCTGCTCCTCATCGCCAGGAATTTGTGCAAAACTTCAAAATTGAGAGTCTTTAAAAATTTTATTAAAGAGCTTGTTCCCTGATAACGTGAAAATGGTTTTGAATTGCCAAGAACGTTTAAAGAAGCAGACCCTGACTTTCACCCACTGGATTTATCCTCCACTGACACAACCAAAGTGCTGCCAGACCTTTGCTAACAGGTATTGTTGGCAGTGGATTTCCATCCAACGTCAGAAGTGAATCATGTTATTCAACCTCAATTAAATGCGAAAAGCACAGTGTAAGCAGCACTACGGTTTATTCAGATACCGTTCAAGGTATTTCCTCACAAAAAATGCATCACTAAGATAAGAACTGCGATTCAGCTTGATACAAAACTGAATTAAAGGCACCTCTTTAATACGCAGGCAATGTAAAAAATAATGGGAAGAATGGAGAAGATGGTTTTGCATTCCTAAAGCTCAACTTCAAAATCTCTGAAGGCTGTTTTAGTACTCTTGACGATATTTCCAACCTTTACTTGTAAGTGAGTGTACTAGAGTATAAGGGCTGCTATACCATTGGCAGGACTAAGGTGGTATGCAGTGCAAAGTTTATAGCCAAGTGTGCGGAAGGGGGTGTAACCTGATTAAGTCAGACTGCGCAGTTCTCAAGCACTTCCAACTCTTAACTACCAAAATTGTTTTGACTGGTAAATCAGAAGACTGCTAAGGTTTATTCAGACTGACTCATCTGCAATACAAGTTTCAACAAAGTCATATTCTGAACGTTGGCCATAGTTCTGACAGTAAAAAAAACATTTAACCAGAAGATGCATCTGATCGACCACAAACTGGCACTGGAAACATGAATGCCAAATTCAGCTCACTATGTGAATTGAATTGAAAACAATTAGAGTATAGGTACGTCAGAGGGTAGCAGTGGGTGAATGAATGGACCAAATTAGTTTGAATCAGAATGTGAAAACATACAGGAATCAAATGCTGGTTTTACATTACAAGTCTGCCTGCAGAGACGAGCCTGGCTAGAGGCAACTTGTAATGAAAAGTGGCTGAATTTCCTGGCAGCAAATGTCTATAAATGATCATTTGAGTCCTATCTCCCATTGTCTCCATACTTTTGGCCTCCATCTGCAAAATGAGAAACAGTTGGCGCCAGCATAAAAAACATTCAGTCAAAGCCTCCTGTTTACTTCCTACCTTTATCACCTGCAGCTAAAAACATATGCTATCATTTGTTTATGCTGTGTTACCGCACACATGCAAAAACACTATGTAGAATGGTGTATAAAGGGCTGGGAGAAGTCACCTGATATTCAGGTGCATCTTCCGGCCTCTGTCCCAGTGACAATCGGCAAAAGAATCCGCTGAAGTCACAACAACAACAACTTGCATTTATATAGCACCCTTCATGCGGGGTAGCGCCCTGTGCATCCTCAGAACGTCAACTCACTGTGAGCTTTTGGTCCTATGCACCTCCCTCCACCTTCTGAGGTCTGACAGCAAAATGTACAAATGAAAAAGCAAGTATCACATGGAAAGCAGCGCTGAGACTGTCAATGTTTGCCTTTCATCTGTCGCAATCTGCACCATAGGAACCATAATATAAAAGCAGTATTAGCCAAAGTCACAGACCACACTCTGAAGTAGGTGGAGGTGAGCATAGCATGTTTCCAGTTATCATAAGAAAATATATACCATCAAGTATTAATGTCTATCAGAAGCAAACAGGTCTACTCTGATCCATGAAAACTGGCTGAAAAGTGGGTTAAACCGGTTGGGGTGTCACAAGCATGTATATCTGTTCTTAAAATGATGGAATTTGCAGGATTTATTTAGTTCCCTTGAGGCTGAAAGATTTGGTGAATAGTGTGCTCTTATCTTGCATGTCCACAATTTATTCATTGTTGGTTATTTGTAAGAGGTCCTCCTAACCTCTTTATAATACAATACAAATTTACACTTATATAGCGCCTTTCACATCAGGAGGATGTCCAAAGTGCATAAAAGTGCTTTGGCTTCAAAGAATAACAAAAATCTCCTTTTGTTTACTTTTTAAATTGCTGTGTACTTTCAGTTAGAAGCAAGGAGCAACAGTGAAATCTTGCTGCAGGTATTGTCTTGCTGGGCAACTGAAGATTGAAAATGATAAGGGACATTACTGGACAAGCTGAGACTTTCAAACAGCAACCAAAGCAAAGAAGTGGTAGTTAAGATTTTAAGAAAACTTGGAAATCAAAAAAATTAGATGTAGCATTCAAAACCTATTAATGCAATGGCTGCTAATGCAGATCTTACTTACTTACATTTCTGTAAAAAAAATTGTATCAGACTGTGAAATTCTTTCTACCTTCCCCTCCTCTGCATCTGTAGTTTTGCAGTTTAAAAAAATGTATTAAGCTGGATCAGGATTTTAGCAGTAAACTCAACTGAGATAGTGAATTCCTTCTGGTAACCAGAAGTACATTAGCCATGTTACACTGATCCATGCAAACACTGCTTTGAAAGTACAACAACAACTTGCATTTGTATAGCACCCTTCGCATTGGTTAGGGTACTGGAGTGCTGCAAAGCAGTTTGTGTTAGATCGGACTGCCTGCAAATCAATGTGTTTTACTGCACGCTTTCATAATTTAGGAATGCCATTAGAATTGCTGTCTGTTAGGACCCAGTCTCTTAGAGTCTTCGCATAATTACAGCCAGTATTGTTAGTAAACACACGTTACACTACTTGCTTCACAAACACATCAGAACTTGCAACTTATTCGTTGCAAATAAAATAAGATGAACAGGAATTTCAAGTTTTTGGTCACAGCAAAGGAAAACAACCTTTGTTGTTTAGCATGGCAGACTGGATTGCACTTCACTGGCGCAATCTTGATTTTATTTGACTTGTAATCCACCTTTGCTTATTTATTCATTAGGTGGCTGACATGATATATGAGATCCAGAACCATGCAGTCTTTGAAAAGAACAATGCTCTTGTGCATATTATTTTTACGTGCACATTTGCAGTGTGATATTGGGTGTAACACGCAATCAGAAGGTGATCAGATTAAATGTATTTTTGTCTACCTGCTTGCAAACAATGGACAAATTGTTTTCAATCAATAGAATTTTTACAAGCATTGTTCAAAACAAATCTGTGACATTGTCCTGATAATTGGATCGCGTGTTCATTGTCAACATAACTAAGACACCAGGAAAGTAGTTGTGATCTGCACCAACTGTAAAAGAAACAGGTCTTTTGGATCTCATTTCAAATAATGCCTTTGTTTGTGTTTTGTGCATTGAGTTTAAATTACTGGTTTTAGCAATGTTTAAGTACTTTTCTTTTTACAAAAGGAATGTATAAATTGGGAATATGAGAAGGCCACTTGATCCAACTGAGTCATTAATAACCCTAATTGTAGATTTGGATAAAGCGCTCAATAATTTCTCCATGTCGCTTAATTCTTTTACTTTCAGATGTTAATTTTTATGTCAAAGCACTATAAAGTAAGTTGTTATTACTCACCACGTATCTCTATCATCTTCTTTCCAAATATCCCAATCATTTCTACATTTCTGTCGTTCAGGGGCAGTGCATTCCAAATTCTCACAACCCTTGCAATAAAGAAATGTTTTCTGATCCCTGCTATTTCTTGTGGAACATTCCTACCATTTAACCTGACATTTTACTGCCTTACTGAGTGCTAGTGGCTAGATAGTGCCAGTTGTTGATAAGATAATAAGAAAAAAGGAATAGCCAAGTAAAACTGGTTATACATGTCTTACTCCACAGAAATGTTTCTTGCGCCATAAACCATGAAGCAGCAAAGGAGGTAGCATTGAAGTAAACAACTGGTCCCTAAAATAGAAGCAATTGCAGAAAATTTTACATAAAGATGAGTCTGAAAGTAACCATAGGTAGCTTCACAATAAAGTTATCGCAATACATTAAATGGCCAATTGGTGTGATTTTTATCTTTGCTATCTTTTATTCTGGTAGATTTTTTGTTGTTACATTAGAGAGTGTGGTAAGTTTTGGTTTAATAGTCTGTGCCTTCACAGAACCCAGCCTAAGATCTTCTGCATTAAAAGGCATTATGCAAAATATCTCCGACAAGTTTACTTTGGCAATCACACGTAAACCATAGCTTTAACTCTATTTCTGAGAATTAGTCCTTGGAGTTTGGCTTGAGGTTGCCTGTATTACATGTATCCTGGCTATAGTATATTTTGGGTTGGTCCGACCTTGTAGCAAAGTTGTGTGGATCCATTACCAGTTTTGTGATAGCCAGAGAGTGCTGGTTAATTAACACAGAAAGTATTCACAGAGGATCACGCAGGAGAAATGTGGTGCAATGAGCAGCATCACAATATACTTGAGCTGTTTGTAACAGAAAGGTGCCTCTCGTCCTTCATTCACTACATAAACCAACATGGTCTGACTTGCTTTTATGTTTCAGGATTACCAAAGATGCAAGTTATCAGAAGGTATAATGGGGTACCTCAGCCTCCTCAGTATGCTGGCCCCCCATTAAACATTCAGATGGGGGATATCATTGAAGTTGTGCGAGCAGAGGCACACTACTCATGGTGGGAGGTAAGAACTTGAGTCATTAGAAGTCTAATGAAAATTAAGTAAACACAGTATGACCAATGGATAAAATTATTTATCCATCATTAATGTGCCATCCTCTTCGCTGTACAAATCTGGCCATGTTTACTAACGTTTACATGTGAAACCTTTATGAAGATTAGAAGCATTTCATGTCAGGTCATTGCCACAATCTTATTGTTATTAGAGTTTGTATTATTGGCTCTATACTGGGATTGGCTTGATGCTGTTTTTTATAAGAATCATCTTGACAGTGTAAACAATGCTTCGGATTGTGTGATCGCAAAGTAAGTTAACCAAAAAGCTTTAGAGCATTTCCTAGAAAGCTCGTTACTGAAGATAACAAGCTGTTACATGTACTAAGAGAAAAGAGCCAGTTGTCTGGGATGATTCACCAGTCAGTTGAGATAATGTTTTAAAAACTAATTGTTTTATTACAGAAGTAGTTTCTGAAGGCACTAATAAGATTTTCTACTGATCTGGGTTAAGAACACTTTCACCAAATTTCCAATCTTTAATCTATGTTTCAAACTATAGAATTTTGCGCAAACTTTCTTCATGGGATTTTGTTTAAATCAAGAACTCAGGTTCAGGAGTTAACATCATTAAATAGCAGAAGCTATTCCACTATTAAGCTACCAGTCTCAGCAGATAATATGAGAAAGTCTGACCAGAAACAAACTGATCTGGTGAAAAAGGAACAATTGTACTGTGTCCCAAACAACCCATGGTCTGTTTTTTGTATTTACAGTCCTGATCTAAAAAGCAGTGTGTAGGCTGGGGATTTGCCAGTTTCAGAAGATAGTTTATCCTGACTGCCACATCTGTGACCATATGTAGAAGAAAGAATACAGAATAATGTGTTTCCTGTATTGTAAGTTGTAACAGACTGTTAACCTCCACCAGTGAAGTGGGTTGAGAACACAATGATAAAAACCAAAAATGAACCCGGTAAACTTTAAAAGTCAAACTTATCAGCAAGTGGGAGAAGGATGGTCCAGCTGGCAGGCCTCGGCTGGATGCGACTAGTGGAATCCTGTTAATCACTTTCAACCAGTAATAGGAGAGATACAAACAGACAGAGAGAGCTACAGAGACACACAGATACAGATACTTCATTGCTGTCTGTTGTATTATTGTATTAAAATTCGCATGAATTTTTACATATCGTATTTTAAGTTTACGTTGTAACAAAAATATTATGTTTCTGGAAGGGAATCGCAAAAATATTACTTATGCAGCCCTTGGACATTTCTCAAATCTAGCATCCGGCCTGGGAAAACTCTCATTAAAGAGGTATTTTTGCTGGGTATTGCAAACAAAGGAATGTGCAATGATACAATTGGCAACACAATCCTATCATCAGATTTCTGAGCCACAACTAATTAAGTCGTGCACTTGACAGGATATTCCCAGGTATCTGTTGCGGGGTTTCAGTTTTGCTCCCGGAGCTCTCCATTAATGGTGTAAATACCTTTCAAAGGAAAGAATTTAGCCAGATAGTAATAGGTGTTTTTAAAACAACACTTGGCTAGACCTATGTCTGAGGACACTCCTACTATAAAGCCAAAGTATGCAGATGTTTGGCTTGACTTTGTCATATCACAGACATTTTGCTGTGTATCTTTTGTTCATTCAGTGGAGTTATTATTCTCTGGTAATAATCTTTAACATTAACAGCAATTAAAGCAAAATAAACTGTTAAGTTTAAGACTTTGGTCCATTGGACATTCCGTAACTTATATCAGGCAGAGATCAATATGAGGAGCATCTGTCAAGTAAAAATAGTTTTTTTTCAAATGTTAAATGGTTTCCCATTTCAACATGTTCATGACATTGCAGGGTAAAAATCTCACAACAAAGGAAGTTGGCTTCTTTCCAAGTGATTCAGTGAAGCCTCTGCCATGTGTAAGTACAAACATTTAGGTATCTTTTGGTCAATGTTCAAATTTGCATCAAATTGATTGTTGGAAATGTAAAACATGTCTAAATTAATGAAGCTACGTTTGGGAGTTTTCCAAATCGGACCAGTGGAGGGGTGAGGTGCTTATCTTCATGTTTAAATGCACAGTGTAAAATCAATGTACAGATCTAACAGTGGTGTACTTTTAAATGCTTGGTCAATATTTTAATATCCAAGAGGAAACCGAGTTCTTGGGGAAATAGTTCTTGGGGTAATAGAAAATAAATTAACAGGGCCTGAAAGTACTGTACTGCAGTGCTTAAGGAAATAACCCTCAGGCAATAGAAAACACCAGGGGGAAGCCAAGGAATATATTGACCATTTACAGATAATTAACCTAATATAGTCAACAGGCAAGGTTGGTAACTATAGTTGTATCTTCTCCCTCCAAAGAATTTTCTTGAATAAAACAAGAATGCAGTTTCCTGGAACTGAGGAAAAATAAATGATGCCTTAGTTATTTTGTGTCTACAGAGCAAAATAAACAATTTAATTCTCTCCAGCTTCAGAACATTTACAAACCAAAAAAGCTCCACCATACATGGGATATTTTTAATTAAAGAATGCTTTTTCAGGCAGTGTGATATATTGTAGGAAGAGATTTTTGTCTTTAAATTTGGCAAAGAGACTAGAATTCAAAAGTCAATGAGAACGTTAGCAATGGTATGTAAACAACTTATAGAAGATAATAAAGGAAAGTTCATTTAATTGGTGACAAGATCCACCCCGTAAAGTGGGCTACACTTGCTTTGGATTCTTATTTGTGGTATTTGGAGGATAATGTTATTTGAATAATGACTATTTAACCTTTTGCATAATCTCTATTTTTGGACAGGGATATTTGAAGAGATGGATAATATTCAATTACATATTACTTTTAGCTCAAACCAAACCACTAGCTGACTATTGAGCATGTTGCTTACTGATTGTGTGCTTCTATTTAAATTTCACCAAAATCCTCGACAGATTGTAGGGGATTGTTATTGATTAATATTGACTGACTGTGATGTACTGTTTTCTTCCAATTCAATTTAGGTTCCAAAACCCACAGATTACTCTGGATATCCATGGTATGTATAAATGCACATAAAATATTGTTTCCAGATTTTGATGCATATAATAATTTACCACGTTGTAACTTAACAATTCTAAAATGTTATTTGGTATACTTGGTATAGTTGGAAGATTTCTGTTGGAAACAAAATCAACTTAATTCCGATGTTAAAATACAACTTAATTTCGATGACATAGATCAATGATGTTTATGCTGAACATTTCCTGACAAGACGTTGTATTGTGCATTTGAATAAAGGAATGGAAGATCTGTTTTAACGGAAATCCTCTTTGAAATTTTCTTCTTAAATTAATAAGCTGCCATTCACCAGAACTGAAATGTAGTAAATGTAATTAAGAATGACAATTAAAAAAATTTGTACTTCGGCTGAGAAAAGACACCAAGCGAAACAAATGCACACTCACCCAACCACCATATCTATTCATCCTTAGGTTTGATGTTAATCTTGAATTTCTGTGGAATAAGGCAGCAAATAAAAATATTCAGCAATGTTTCTCTAGGGTTCTAGGAAAGATTTCCAAAGCCTAATTTATAATTGATTCAAATATGAAGACAATAATTTTCATGAATTCTCCAGATAAGCAAAACGAATCTGAAAGTTTTGGTGCCAATACGTATGAAAATCATAGAATAATAGAATTATGCAGCACAGAAGAAGGCCATTCGGCCCATTGTGTCTGTGCCGGCTCTTTGAAAAGAGCTGTCCAAATCCAAAGAAAACAATAAAATATAATAGCACTAAATGTTGCTCCATTTAACTCTATTAATATAAAATCTAATCTAAATGCAATTTTATTACCTTGTGTATAGTATTTGTTGCAAAACAGAATAACATAATGTCACGCAGTTTATTGAGTGTAAAAATAATGTTCCATGAATAAAGTGTTGCATTTATAAATTAACTGCACTATTGTAAGAAATTGAATGCATTCAACTAGAGGTAGATCAGTGAAGGACTATTAAAGTAGTCAGTACTTTGTGTAGTGTGTAAGTATTGTACATAGGAACAGGAGGAGGCCATTCAGCCTTCCGAGCCTGTTCCGCCATTTTATTAGATCATGGTTGATCTGTACCTCATCTAATCATTTCAATTCCAATTTCCCGCTTTCTCCCATTATCCCTTAATACCCTGACCTACAAAAAAATCTATCAATCTCACTCTTGCGGTGCGGATGGATTCAGCATCCATGGCCTTTTGGGGGAGAGAATTCCAGATTTCTACCACCCTTTGAGTGAAAAAAATGCTTCCTGATTTCATTCTAAAATGGCCTGGTTCTAATTTTAAGAGTATTGTTTTGGATTCCCCCAACAGAGGAAATAGCTTCTCTGTATCTACCCTATCAAATCCCTTTATCATCTTAAATATCTCAATCAATTCACTGCTCAACCTTCTGAACTCAAGGAATACAATCCCAGTTTACGAGCCTTTCCTCTTGACCCTTTTAGGCCTGGTAACATTCTGGTGAACCTTTGCTGCACCCCTTCCAGGGCCAATATATCTTTCCTGAGGTGTGGTGCCCCAAAACTGAATGCAGCTTCCAGATGGGGTCTGACTAATGCTCTATACCACTGATGCATCATTTCTTCCACTTTGCATTCCAGGCCCCTTGAAATAAAGGCCAATATTTCATTCACCTGTATTACGCTTATATCAGTATAAATCCTGTTTAGGAATAAGTAACCACATGAAGATTGTCTGCAGCTCCTACACATTTTCTTTCACAATTTGATAAATAACATCCACCAAAAATACTATCATTACTCCTAAGAGACTTGTTCCATTGAATGGAACTTCGTACAGATAGCCCACTGAGTTAGTGACAGTGAATGGCATAATATATTTCTATCACATTGTGAGAAGAACTGGCTTAGTTTTAGCTTGTGTGCTTGACGTTAGTCAATGAATGAACATAGCAAATTTATAGTGCACAAGGATCTTGTTTAATAGTATTAATCTTCCCAGAACTTATCGACATCATGCAATATTCCAATCCATCTGTCTAAGGAACAACCAAATTCTGCTTATTTGTACTTCAAAATTTTCATTATGCTTCTCAATTTATTTGGGACTGTACATTATTTTTATGATTCATAAATGTGCTGATATAGACTGAATCCATCTTGCTCTGATCCACTCTGAGTGAGATCCAAAAACAAAATTTTAGGAGGATTTGTTTGAACAGGACATATTTGCTCACCACATATCCTAAAGTACATTGCGTACAAAATAAATTGTGTAATCTTTCAAGTGAGCACATGAAACTGAATTAAAGTGTGTTTACAAACCAGGAGGAAGTTAAGAAAGCTCTAAAATATATCCTAGTTAGTAATAGGCAACAATTACATTTCCTCTCAACTTCATAAGACACTTCTCATTCATAAATGGGATTTGCTGAAAAATGATTTGTGCGTTAGAGCAACAATAACTTGCAATTAATTTAGCACCCTTCACATAGGGTAATGTCTCAGAAATGTTTTAAAAAGGTGGGGTTGAGTGCCAAGCTAGTCTTAGCCTGTATTGTTCTTGCAGGCTAAAACCAGGTAGAATTTCAGACTTTTAAAATGTATACCATAATACAATGAAATGGGAGTTTACAACCAGCCAGTAGGTCATTTTTATGAAGGAGAGCAAGAGCGAAGGGTAAAATAGAGTTGAGCATGTGGGTAGTTCTGAGATAAAGTGTGCCAGTGCTGCTGAAGGGAATGGTAGAGTCATTTTTATATATGTCTTGTCTCGTTATAGCCAATAACAGTTAATGTTATTGCATTTATCTTTTGTTCCAGTGAGTTTATTAAAACATCTACTCAGCCCAGGTAGTATGCCAATGCCGTGCCTAGGTGTACCAGTGTGCTGTGCTGTTCGCCACAAGATTAGATAACATTTCTAATGAAACTTTGGCTTGGTTGATTTTGGAGGAACTTGATTATATTTAAACTCAAACTGCTTCGAGATCTCAGTGAGAATTGCAACCATGTACAGTAGTCAGAATGTGTTAACTAACCTTCTTGTCTTTTGCAGGTATGCAGGAATAATGGAGCGGCCGCAGGCAGAAAATGACCTCGCGGACCGAGGCAACAGCACTTTCCTTATACGGCACAGGGTGAAGGAAACTGGAGAATATGCAATAAGTATTAAGTAGGTGCTCGTTAGGTTTATATTTACATCCATTTACGAAGTTCCTACTTTCAGCCCTGTTTGTGTTCCATCCATCAGCTGGCCAAATGGAAACCATTTGGGCCATTGATTTTCCTCCGACTATTTTCAATACTGTTGTGCAACTGGTTGACAAGAGATGTGCGTTGACTGCTCAGATTGCCCTCTCCCTTGCCTGGCTCAGTTGGTAGGACTCTTTCCTCAGAATTGGAAGATTGAGGGTTCAAGCCCCAACTCATGACCTTGAACTCAGGCTGACACTCCCAATGCATTGCCTGATTGTCAAAGGACAGACAAGATATTAGACTGAGGTCCTATCTGTCTGTTAAACATCCCATTACACTAATTGAGAAGAGAAGGTAGTTTCCATTAACCAACAATTCCCAATGTAACAAAAATGGTAATTCACTTTGTTGTGAGACATTGCGAACAATAATAATCCTTGCATTTGATATAACACCTTATCATGTCGTTCAGACGTCTCAAAGCCTTCACAGAATATATTGTAAAGTGAATTGACTTATGGGCGAATCGCAGCAGCTAATTATGCACAACAGTGTCCCACAAACAGTCATAAATTAAGTGACCGTATTGTTATAATTATTATTTTTGAAGGTATTATTACCCCCGGAAAGCGATCCACTATTGAGTAATAACCGAGTTCCCACTTACTGCTATGATAACAGAGGGTGTGGAGTAAGGAGACTTGCCTGAGGTTTCACTCCACCTGGGAATCAAAACCAGGTCCTCTCATTTGTGAGGCAAGTTCTCTAACCACTACACTACAGGACTCCTGTGTGCAAAGCGACTTTTATTGCGAGTGCTTCCAAAAACACAGACATTGCAATTTACAGAAAAAACTCTAAAGTGCTTTGAGATATTTCAATGCGGTAAAGCACTGTATCAAGTTAGAAAGCTGATTATTGTTATTATAATTATAATTTCTGCAAAGTGCTCCTTTTAGCGACCATGTTGATAAATAAGTGTTGGCCCGATCAGGTTGTGTTCCATTGTCAGTCAAAGATATAATTTGGGTAAGGGCTCTCAAATTAGAAGTCATTTTTGTGACACCTGTCAGACTGCCTTTGTAAATATATTTTACTCTGAGATGTGGGAAAGTTATTGTAATATCACCCTGAGGGATTGTATATAATTTCTATCTTCATATAGGATTTGCTGAATGTATTGTTTTCTAATTATATGCCTGGTCTACAAACTGGCAGTGCAATCATAACACAGTTTGTTATTGTGGTACCTGACCTTTAGTTAATCCATACTTTACAACATGCTTCTGATCCACCTAACATTTCAATCCAATTCTTTATCCGCAGATATAATAATGAAGTCAAACACATCAAGATTATATCCAGAGATAACTGTTTTCACATTGCAGAAAATAAGAGATTCAGAAGTTTAATTGTGAGTATCGATTCCACTGGCAAGATTTACATGTACTGTAAGCACAACCTTCAATAAAGTCACTTAAATGATTACATATCCCTTAATTAAAGAAGGGGAAGTACTCAAATGATTACATTCTTCTGTTTATTGAGAACATTAAACAAAGTCTACGAAACAGGAGGATTTATTCGATGTGGGACTGATGCCTAATGGATGACTGAATTGGGACTTTAGGTCAGCACCCACGATGGAAAGCAATGCTGATCTCTTGTGTTTTCAGCCACTTGCTAATGCGGCTTGTTGCTGAGTATGGATTGATGCTTGGCTCACGCAATCATTTCTCCTCACAGGCCGGAGTTTTATTTTAATTTATTTTTGATTTGAAATGCTCCACCCTTCAGTACTAGTCCTCTTTATTTTTCTTCTCTGATCATGTTTCTTGCATGATTTAAGAAACATTCGTTTTTTGGAAAAAAAATTCAAAAGCATACTGGAGTTCCAAATTGAAAAGCTGAACTTTCATGATAAACTCCTAATAGATGTACCATATGGTTTAAAAATTCCACTAAATTATGCAGAACTAATACACGCTGGTATCTGCATGGATGTATTAACTTAAAAAACATTCTTGTTGACAGGAACTTGTAGAATATTATAAATATCATTCTCTAAAAGAGGGATTTAGAAGTTTGGATACAACACTTCAGTATCCATATAAAGAACCTGAAAACACCACAATTGCAAGAAATCACAGATCGGGGAGTCATTGTAAGTATTTGATTTTATTGCTCATCTGCAAGTAAAAAAAAATGAAGCAAGTTTGTTGTCTGCAAATCTATTTGTCAATATATTGCCTTTAAAAGAAAACTTCTGCTGTTCCCCACTACTGTTGTGCTACGTCTGTCGGGTTGCATCAGTTGGGAACAACGCTCAACCCTAGACTAGAAAATTCGAGCCACAAGCTGTGATTTGATCTCATCATTTTGGGAGACATTCAAGTGTTATGACTGTAGTCTCAGTTGTTGCCTGAATTATAGCAAATGGTGGATAAAAGGCATCTCTCAAGTTAGAATTAACATGGGAGAGAAGGAACTTGCCCCTGTCTCAATCAAACCTGCACAAATGAGATACTTGCATCTCTTTGTTGAGCAGAACAAACAGAAATTGCTCTGAATTTCAACCCTTTTTGCTTCCATATTCACTGATGATAGGCTTCATTGCACTCGGATGCCCCTGATTAGCATCTCAGTATTTTCATGAGCAGGGTTTCATGCTCCAAATGTAAGCCAGTCTGACAAACATTGGGTATTTGACTAACACAATATGCATTCAATTTAACTTGCTTCTTTCTGCACTCAGTCAGCACCTTATGGTGATAGTGGGCGTGTGCTGTGCATCGCTAAAGTAGAGTACAAGATTATGGTGCAAAGGTGGCAGGGTTTACACGTCACCCTTTTGTGGCTTTGTACATGTACATGTGCAGGTTTGTGCATTGGGCAGTTCATTTGTTTGTTAACACGTAGTATTTTTTTAAAAAAAAGACTGCAATCCAACTGGCAGCCTTGATAGACACTAGCCTCATTCTTCTACAATTTAATAGCAAGAGAAAGTAGAAAAAAAATGAAAAGATAAAACCCTAATGCTTACAATTCATTTTACAATGTCCTCAGTCCCTAACTGTCAGGACATGTTAACAAAGACTAAGGCTTAAATAGAGAGACAGTTTCTGTACTCCCCTACTCCTCCCTCCCCCACAGCAGTGTTTCTTTTGAACTGAGGAGATAAGTTGACGTCTGTCCAAATATCAAGCCCAATACTTAACTCCCTCAATATTCACCCAAGCACATTTTTTTAAACAGCGTAAAGATCAAAAGGGTGAAATGCTAGTCAGCGTTGCGTACAGAGACATTGACTATATCGGTCTCAAGTGGGAGTTTCCCATTATAAACGTGGATGCTGAATGCCGTCACATTCACTGGCAACTGGAAAGGCAGCCTTGGGGTTTGGAAGCCTTGTCTGATTTCCCTCCTCCTTCTTTGTTCCGGAGAGCTAAAACAATCATAACACTCCTACGGCTGCTCTGACTAAGAGTTCATACCTCAATGTCAAATGGGGATTCAGCCTGGGACCTACTAGGTCTGTAGAGTAATAAAGTTTTAAAACTTTTTTGTGTGTGTGTTTTAATAAAATAATAACATGGTAGGTAATATATTTTTCCTTTTGTTTGAGTAGCATTATTACTGTATGTTTGTGGGCAACTTTGAGACTCGTATATATACCATCAAATACATGCCATTGTGTTGTTTTAGCAAGTAGTTTCGATAACCTGCATAAATCATGGAATTGATTGCAGTGTGTAAATTGCTGAAGAAAAAAATCACCTGACTTGTGGCTTGCCAGGTGTGTGTGTGCGATTGTGTGTGCGCCGAGCATGTACTGATTTCTCAGTTATCAGTTTCTGATGTATTTAGTGCTTTGTATGTTTGCCTCTTCTGTTAAGAAATACTCTCTTCCCAAGTTATGCAATGATATTGATTCTTTCCTATTACAATTTCACATACATGTTCACCTCTGTGGATACCTTGTAAATATTATAAAATGTATACCGATTAGGCCTTTATAACTGTAGATATAAGCTTCCATTTACATTGCAGACGCAGAGCACATTCGGGTTTGAGAAATCCAAAAGAGCTCAATCTCTTCACATTCTTTATTTGCCTACATTTGGGTGAGGGAATGTAACACATACTCATTTTATATCTGGCATTTGCTATAACATAAACTTGGCAGACAGCACCTTTGTGTGAATTTGAAACAAGTGTCCAATGGATTTATTCAGATCTGTAGTGGAGTCATTTCACAATTGGACATATATTTTAAATACACGTTGTCTTACTAAACCTTACGTTGACTATCATTTCACTCCATTCGCTCAATGTAACACACTTGGACTAAGTTCCACTCTGCTCCTTTCCTGCATTAGTGAATTTGTTTCTCTGTGCTTACAAATAATTTCTACAATTATTTGTAAGTGCATTATAAATTTAAAATTAAATGACACATAAAAAATTGTATATATTTATAAGCATACAATGACAAATTCATCAATCGAGGCAACAAATATGATTATTTTCATGACACGAAAGGACTCATGATGCACTGTCCTGAAATCTGCCTCATTTTGCCCAGTTGTTTATAAATGAAACTTGGGTGAAAATAGTTTTTTTTTACTAATTGACTTTTGCTTCACCACCCCCAAAAAAACTATTTATTGATGAAAATGGGTTAAAACATTTTTTTTAATGGCCCTTAAATATACCCTGTTCAATTATCAGGAAATGATGGCCTATTGTAAATAGGTAAATTCATTTAGGCGACTGGAGACTTTTTTAAAAAGGAACCGTTTCTGTTTTTAAATGTAAAAATGTAAATTGAAAATATGTTTGAAAAGGATCCTAAAGTGGATTAATGGTTTATATCAATACATAACATTAGCTGAAGGCATTTTCTTCAGTATGGATAGTGTTACCTCCATCCTCCTTCCAACAGACTGTAGACCCAGCCAGCTGACAGCTCGTAGGTCTGTAGCATGTGGCAGAATCTCAAGAAGAAGCCATGTGCACAGAGGCAAGTACCTCTAACTAGTGTTCTAAATGTAGCTTGACACTCCCTAGTTTCATCCCAGAATATGATTTGCACATTGGTAACGGTTTTCATCTTGCTGTGTTTGATCTTTGTAAGTGTATGCTCAGAAGTGACTTATCTTTTCCTTCAAAGGCTTTACCTTATATGTTTTAATTAATTTTTTTCTGCTTTTCTCTCTTTCGCTCCTTTTTAAGCCCCCTCTGTGCTCTGTGGGTTTTCATTTGTAACTCCTCCAGGTTTCAGCTTTGTCCCCCCTTCTTCTACTCCTTTCTGGTCAGGTACTGCATAACTTGTTTGGAAACTTCTGATGCTTCTGCTGCAATGCTGATGCCTCTTTGCGCAGGAGTGAAATAAACTGTATTAATATAGTTGCTATAAAATTTTACTAATTTATATCTTTGAAAAAAAACTATATGCTGTTTGTGGCAATCTAATAGCTTATACACTTTTTGTATAAACTATGCATCAATGTTGTATGTACTGTCCTTAGTTACACTGAAACCTCTTATTAACATACTAGACTTGATATACACTTTATTATAATATTGAATGGGATTTTGTAAATGGTTGATAATTCCTCTGTTGCTTGCCACTCCTTTTGCTGGGGTGGTTTGTTCACAGTCTTCTGCATTGTCAGCACAAGCCCACCATGGGTCTGTATTGTAAGGTAGGCTTCTAGGACCCGATGACCCTTTACCTCATTGAGGTGTCGGGGGAGTGAGAGACGTTGATATGAGATGGGACTCAATCTGATGAAGTGGGTTTATGAGGGAGAAAAACTAAGGTGGGGATAGAATGAGAAATGAATGAAAAGAAAGTGACGCATTGTAAACCAGCAAATTCAAAAACAGTGAGAAATGAGCCCAGATTATGGGTGAGAATGGCATAAAGGATTAACTCAAAGCTCTGATGATAAATGTTCAAATCCTTTCAGTCCACAGAGCCGTACAAGTCTTAACTTGGAGCTGAAGGTTTCTGTGCATGAAATGTAGATTAATGTTGCTTTAAAGGAGCTGTTACATTGCTTTATTTACAATTGCAATCTCAGGTTACTTTGTTTCTCCTGAAACTAACTATTATAAATGTTATCTGTATGTAGGAATGTTTGTATCAATATATTTATTTCACTTAGGAATCGATTCCCCTGATCCATCTAGTCATGTTATCTGCAGGTCAGCAGGAGTGACAGATGCAGTAGTGAGCTAATTGTGTCCATCGTTCTCATGCACTGTTCAAACTTCATGCTCAGACCCAGCCTCTACATCCTAGTGACAGGAAAATACAATTGATATGAATGCTACATTTCATGGCTTTTGCAGTGATATGTTTTTATTTTACAATTTTAATGATGTTAATTCAAACAGCAAAATTTAAAACATGTAGCTCTTTTTTATAAAAAAATCACTAAACAGTTGTGACATTGAAATAACGATGATATTAAAATGATATAATTGCTCCCCTGGTGTCTCAGTTGTTAAAGATAGTGAAACAGCCATGCAGACCCAAAAAGTCCCAGGTTGGTTCCTGCTAATTGATCTCAGCCAGGGCAGCTGCAGGCGTGCAATAGTTGAGGTCAGCTTCCCTGGTTTGTGAGAGAAAAACACTTGATGGAAAGTGTTCCTGTGGATAAGGAAATAACAGGATCAGCCAGGACTGTGATGCCCCTTGTGGTAAAATAACCAGCTGAATCTTACTGTCCCGGGTAACACAGGAAGAATAGTCATGTGTCACTTGAACATGGTATTGGAGGTACTGGCAAATGCCAGTGGAATTTTATTTTAAATGTGTACAGCAAGAGGAGAAATACACATTGGAGGGCGTGTGTGTATGTGTGTGTGGGGCGGGGGTTGGGGTGTAAAAGAAAGCTAGAAAATGCTTTGCTATATGATGTTATAAGATGGTCTGACAATAAGAGGTTTATACTGTAACAGGAACAACACTGTAGAGTGTGATCTGAAACAGTGTGGATTGTCTTAGAAACAGTACATAGACTATAAAATGTGACACCATGCCCATCACGCCAGCCTGTATTTTCAATGCTGACTTTCCTGAACTGATGTGCAATCGAATCGATACAGAATTATGTCAAATCACACATTTGCTGGGTTCAAATTAGGTCAGAAATGTTGTAAGCTTGTGTTACTTTAAAAAGTTTTCCAAGAGTTGTGTTGTACTTGAACAAAACCAGAAAAGCTAAAAGTGGAATGAATAAGAGCTTCAATTTGCACTTGGACTGCCCATGGCAACAATACATCAGTTCAACAGAAAGGGCAAGATGTACGATATACATAGAATTTAAGAAAATAAGGAGAATGATTTTATTGACAGGGATTTTATCAACATTTTGGAAATCTGCTAGAAGGGCTTGCTGTGCAGTGGCCTGAATCAAACACGTTATTAGATGAAGACAGTTTATCTTTCACTGCTATGCACGGGCTTGACTTTCGTTTTGTTCTTTCTTTTTGCTGGCATTGAGTGAAATTAATGTTTCAGGATTGTGTCATTATCTATCTGCATGAGACCTCTGCATGATGATTGCATGCATTATTTCTGCTACTATCATTTTGTGTTCCCAAGGTAGTCGAATATTAATAACCAGAGACCTTATGAAACATGTTCTTGACCAAAAATATACAGAACAATTTTGTTCAAACTTTACCTTATGGGTAATATTTCCAGCTGGAACAGTAGCACGAATGCCACTCACATCAGTGCAATAGTATGGCACCGAAGCAAATGGTGCTTTGATCTAGTGCAGGTCAAGTTAGTATTTCAACATTCCCAATGGCTCTGTTGGAAAAAAAACACTGCTGGGCTAGGATAGGGATCCCTGTCAGGATCTCTATCCAATAATAATAATGATTCTTGAATTTGATATAGCACCTTATCATGTCTTCGAGACGTCTCAAAGCGCTTCACAGATGTACTGTGAAATGAATCGACTGTTTATTTTGTGGGCGAAATACCGCACCCAATTGCGCACAGCAGTGTCCCACAAACAGTTGTGGATTGTAGTGACCAATTTATTATTTTTTTTTGAAGGAATTATTACCCCCGGAATAGCGATCTGCCAATCGATGTTAACAACCGGGTTCCTACTTACTGCTAGGTAAACAGAGGTGTGTGGAGTAAGGAAACTTGCCCAACATTTTGCCATGTCGGGAATCGAACCCAGGCCTTTCGCTTGCGAGGCGAATGCTCTAACCACTGAGCTGCAGGGCTCCAATGGTCCCTGCTGAACTGTGAGCTCACGTGGACGTGATTGATTTTGGATCTAAAACCTCCATCGCTGAGAGGCCTGCCAGTCTCATGATATAGACTCACATAGAGAGAGGAAAAACAGGAAACAACAGGAAAGGATAGTTTTGACAACCTAGCTTTTGACAATACCCCAATATCTTATATACTAATTCTAAGATTGCCAGCTAGTACGGGACTGTGCAACACAGACAATGTTGTACACAATTCTAACATTCTTGAGACATGAATCCAGATCTAACCCAGACCAGTGGAGGGAACATCTCTTTTATCTGTCAGCTATATAGATACTGGAAGAAATTCAGATGGACAGTTTCAACCAGGTTTCTAATAATTGCACCATACAGAAATGCCCACAGATTTGGACATGGCACAAAGTTGTCAGCCTTATTCAAACTGACTGTTGGGTGTTCGAAATGGCAGGGGATACATTTAGCTTGGTGATCAGTGATTGCAGTATTGGAGTGGAAAATACTGTCAATTGTGTTCTTTAGATTGTGTGATGTATAAAACACATCTTTACATATTCTTTCATAAATATTTTGTCCTTTATCCATTTATTTTGATGTTTAGCAGTTGCATGTCATAAAGTACAAGTGTTTGATTTTCTTGTAAAGTGCTACAGTTTAAGAACAATTAATTGTCCCGATGGGAGTGAAAGCACCTTTTTTTTAATGAAATTATGCTGATATAGCATATTTCTTTCTCAATTCTCATGAAAAAAGCAAACATGAAACTAAAATACATAACTGTTGGCAGAGCAAGTGGTTATAATTAGAGGTTTTAAACTATGCATTTATTTTTTTTAAAAAACATGATTCGAAGAGGGTAAAATATGCTTTGATTGAAAGATAACAAATGCAAAGAATTATTATTAATAAGATAAAATAAGTCAGCAATTCTGCATTCAGCCTATTTGCTTTTTTCAGGTCTCCTCTAGATGTCAATCTTTCTATTCAATGTCAGTGGTCAAATCAATCTAATGTTAGTTTCTATAGACGGCCTTAACATCATCAGTAGGAAACTCACCTGCATTCTATTCTTATTGGCAGTATTTAGTCCAAAAGTGATTGGAATAGCAATTGCACAGTATGACTTCTCTGCAAGAGACATGAGGGAACTATCCCTTCAGGAGGGAGACACGGTGAAGATATACAGCAAAACTGGTGCAAATGGCTGGTGGCGGGGAGAGGTGAATGACAGGGTAAGTCAGATTGTGATGGAAACGCTTTGTGTTACATCATAAAATCATGGAATTTTACAGCACAGAAGGAGCCTAACCAGCCCATTGTGTTTATGTTGGTTCTTTGAAAGAGCTACCAACTAGTCCTACTCCCCTGATCTTAACCCATAACCCTGCGATATAATAGATATAAGCACGGATCAAAGAATGGATATGGAAAATCATATCAAGTTAGTGTGGCTGAAAGGGACCATGGGCTTCGGAAAATACTGTAAATAAAATTCAGGAACCAATGTCTCTTTAGCTTCATTTTATTTTGGCTTAGTTTTGCTAATACATGTAATTTGCGTTACTCGCAAACTGTATTTGGATGAAAAATTTGAAAGTTACAGTGTGTGACCCTTGTGGGAAAATGTACAAATACCAAATTGGCAACAGCTAGTTGTTCCCCATCAGTGTTTGTTCACTGGACTTTAAACTTTACTGCTTTGGGATCCTCAATTTGTCTGGCCATAAATTTCCCAGCAGGGCTTGCAAACCTGATTTTGCAATTAATGCAACAAATCCACTTGGTTACAATGTTAAAGGCAACTAGAATTAGAGCTTTTCTGGGTCAGTCTCCACTGCAGCAGGATCTCTGTGGTTTCACTTTGTACAAATAACAATTACTATTGTTGTTATAAAGTGCTCCATGGAATATCAAGCTGGTATCTAATTTTGTAACCTGTTCCATCTCCCAGCAAAAGGAGCCTTGAGATACTGTCTGTTGCATTCCTTATATACTTCACATAACTTCAAACATTTCTTATCAACTGTGGAAATTTGAGTAAACATTTACTCCACTTGTTGAAAGTAAACTTGGCTCTCTGTCCTGGTAATCCTAGATGGTTGATAGGCGATAGGCAGATCACAACCTCCAATGGAAATGTCTGTACAAATACCAGATAAGACAAGTATTTAATCTTGGTTTGTCTGAAAAAATGTTTTAAGTTCAGCATTGTAACTTTAGAACTATTTTAACTTGTGCTCAGCAAGATGAGATCACTATTCTTTCTGTTTGAAACCATTTCAGGTCGGTTGGTTTCCCTCTACGTATGTGGAAGAGGAGGAAGACTGTTTAACAAACTGACCATTTGCTGCTGAAGAGGAATTTCAGGGATTGTTAAACTAACGTTACTGTAAAGGCATCAATGGCATAAATGTTTTTGAAGACAAAAATCAGCATTCCTAATTATCCAAGCCACAAGCCTAACTGTGGGATTTCTTCACAAGTTTGAATTGGCAGATTAATGGCTTGCCTGGAGCTTTGCAAGAAATAACCTGTCAGTTTGCTGCCTTCAGAGACCAGCTTTAAGCCAGTACTTTGCTTTCCCAAAGGAACAAAATACAAAGAGCATCTTGCCCTCTCTGTTATCTCAGTGCTCAACGAATACAAGCTTTTGGCGAGTGTTTAAAAACATTTTGTTTGTCAGTATGTGTTCTGTTAGCTTGTTAATGAATGCTGGAAAATAAGCACCACTTGTCCAATTGTAAAATAGATTTGATTCCTACTCTGTTCAGATGTATGATTGTTGCGTATAATTTTTAATTCAGGAAGATTACCTCAATTTTGTGATCAAGAATGTGGCCATTGTATAATATTCTGCAAATAGAGCCACATTACCAGGGTGTTGTTCAAAACATTTAGGGGTGAAATTCCACCTGGGTCTAGACTCTCTCCATTTTCTTAGTATTTCAGAACATTTAGCAAGTTGCTGAGTTCAGTCTTAATTTTGAAGCCAGTTTTCTGTAGTTCTTAATGGAATCTATAGAATACCAACTTCAAAATGTAAGAACTTTCCAAATTCTGGAGGCTCCTTTGAAATGATAAGGAAATAGAGTAAATCTAGATCCAGATGTAATATCTCCCCTTTCATTGCTCTTTGTACAGATATAGCTGGAGTGTGTTATTTTACAATGCAAAAAGGGATTTCTCAAGATGGTCACAAAATATGTTTCCTGCACTCACAAAATAAGTCTCACTATATTACACAGAAATCCTTTATAGATCATATTTTGTATTTTTTTTCAAATTTTGTTTTTATTCGAAAATAATTGTTAATAATTGTGAATACACACAAAAGCCTGAGCATTCTACAATGTGAATAGCAACAACAAAAAATGATCACATCAAGTTTTCTCCTTTGTGTAATATACTCACTTAGTTACAATTGTTGTTCCTACAAATGTAAATACACTAGATTAAATACAAGATGAAATGTACTATTTTGTTTGTTCGAATTACTAAACGAAGTCCACAAAATATATTCCTCTGTCAGACTCAACTTAAATATTTAATGTGAGACATGGAGCAATTTTTTTTAAGAAGTTTTTTTTGGCAAATAACAGCTATTTTCATTTGATTTACTGTGTGATACTACATAAATCCTGAAACACATAACTCAATTATAATTTAAAAGAGAGAAAAACATCTCCATGTATCTACTTTGTGGATTGAGTACATACAAGTTGGAGGCAATTAATAATTTTCATCTTACATTGCCACATCTATTAGACCCTTCACACCAAAGATTCACAACCATCTGATAGGATTCCACGTAATGATGATAGCAGGTTCTGATTCATTTGAAAGCTGGTCTGTTGGAAATGAACCATCGTACTGAATGCTTGCACTTGTATTGCATTGCCCTGTAAATATTTAAGTGGTACACAATAAACAACAACTAATATTTTTATATTTCATTCAACAAAAGTATCAACCCGTTTGTCTTGCATGTCACTTGTATTACCTTCGCTTGTTGTACTCCAATAATGACTTGTCTCATTGATTATACCTTGGAAATGTTGTTTCATAGTCTTAACAGTTTCTTACTTCTGTTATCTTCTTGTGTAGTTCATTGGTTCATCGATATTTAATTCAAGTGCTCCGGGACACTACCCCGTGTGAAGAGCGCTATCTATACAAATGTAAGTTGTTGTTATTGTTGTGCAATTTAAGCGACTCAGCTTTTCACAAAGAGTGAAGATATACAAAATGATAATACTTGAAATTGGCTCTCTGAAAGTATGGGGACTGGGAAGCCATGAGATGCATCTGAGGGTCATTGAATGAGTTATGGGTTCAATTGGTCTTCATTAAAATTGGTGCTCATAAGCAGTTCATTTACGAATGTTAGAAACACATTTTAGCTATCATACAGGTAAGAGAATTGGTGGTTATCTAAATGCCAACAGTATTTATCTTAGATGTATGATACGTTACAGTTAGAGTAGAGTGAGGAAACCAATCTAGAGTGTATGATAATGTGTTGAACTAAACTTTAGCCTAGGACTCCCTTTTTAACTTAATTTATTGTTGTAATTTCTTTCTTGTAAATTAAGAAATGCCAATTTTACAATGCGTTCAATCTTGTTCGTTTTTCTATGAATTTTATAATTTTCTGGTAAAATAGTAGATTCATTAAAATAATAGCCTCAGTTTTGCATTGTACAATTTTGTTTTGTATTTTCTTTGCAAGCTGGGATCTTGTTGGATTAAAAAATAAAATGACAATAACCATCTGTATGAGGATAATTGAAACAGATCTTTAATTCACTTATAGTGCTCAAAGGGTTAATGGAAGCCAACTTTGATTTTTTTTAAAGCAAAATCAGAATACTGTTATAATTGGAAATTTCTGCATTGTGCTAGTGTGAAGTAAGTAATTTTGCTGGTAAATACGAGATGAATTTGATGGAAGGTAAATAAATTGCTATTAACTATTAATATACATCAATAAAAAAGATCATTTGTATTTCTCTTTTGGGTCAATCACATTTTTACCCTGAATAAAATACTGTTGCTTTATTCCCTCGTAACAAAAGAATGAAAAGTTGAATCTTTTTATATCATCCATCTAGATGGATTCTGTGGCACTTGTCTCGGAGGCAGTTGTGTAGGTTACTTTGATACATGCATCAAAGCCATATGCCTCCAATTTTATTTAACCAGCATTCTTTCATATGATAGAACAGTAGAGTAAAAGAACACTGGCCCACATCACCTCTACAAGGTGAAACCACATGGAGTACAGGTGTAACCACACGTATGATTCTTATGTGTCAATCTTCCTTCATTCTTCTCAGAACCTAACATCGGTTGTGTGCGAAGGTAGAATTTAACCACAGAAAAGGAAAGGCCTTTTAAGGTATAATGAAAATATACAGTTCACTTTATTCCAGTTAGTTTTTCTGTAAATGTTTTGGGATTATACACTTTACTAGAAATATTAGCTGTATTTCTGATTGATCACCAAGAGTTGTCAACACTCCTCACCATTCTTGAGACACTTATGTTCTGTTGGAAACTCTACAGGATCTTTCCAACCACTAAATCCTAGTTATATCCCTAGTCAGAAGTCTCCATTAGAATATGAGTTGCAACTGCATTTAACTGATTTCAGTAGTAAAATGGACAACTGCAGCTTAAGGCCTTAAAATGAAAGTTAAGCAAACCAGAGAAGATACAGAGCAATTGAACTTCATTTGTTTGACCACAAGGTGTCAGGCTTTGTTGAAGCAGAAATGAGAAAGACCTTGGACTGAACAGATAAGAACACACAAACTGTGAAGAGTTCTACGGTAGCCAAAGCTAATTGATCAAAAAAACCTATTTTCTTCATTTTCCTTGTTTGCCGGTTAAGAATTTGAAACATGTCTATCATTTTCCCACTCAATCTCCTCTGCTCCATTGGAAAATGGAGTCCTGTTGCTCAGTGGTTAGAGCACTTGCTTTGCAAACGAGAGACCTGGGTTCGATTCCCGGCAGGCCGAAACCTTGGGCAAGTTTCCTTACTCCACACGCCTAATAACAATCCCTCAAAAAAAAACAATAATAGATTGGTCACTTCAATCCATGACTGTTTGTGGGACACAAATTATTGGCTGCTGCGTTTCGCCCACAAATATACAGTCAATTCACTTTACAGTATATTCTGTGAAGGGCTTTGAGACGTCTAGAAGACGTGAAAAGTGCTATATCAAATGCAAGGGAAAAAAAATGCTGCAATTTATCCAGCCTCTCTTCATACATGTATTGTTTCATCCCTGGTATCATCCTTTTGAATATGACTGAATCCTCAATTATGCACCTCTATTTCTGCATTTATAATCCACTGCAGGCACGACTGTAGTCTCTGCCTTTGGCATCAGTGCCTGAAGGTGGTTTGTGGTGGTGAGTGATGTGAAAAGCACATCTCTGCCTACAAACTACACAGTCACTGCTCTTTACAGTGAATCCTGTGAAATGCTTTGACACATCTTCCTGATATGAAAAGTGCTACATCAAATGCAATGATTTTTTCTTCTATTTTATGAGGGAGTAGCACTATATCAGACTACTGCAGCCAGGTGAGGGTTTCCATTGCCCTCTCTAACTCTGTAACAAGATAAGCAGTGCCTCTTGTCCTTTTTTGGCCTTCTATACCAGGCAGAGATAGGCTTTTCACATCGCTCACGTTTGCAAACCAACTTCAGGCAGCAGGAAAGGTCCATGACCTGAAGATAAAGTCTTGATTTCTGACTGAAATTTATGCACTGTGTTGCTGCTGGTTCTTATGGATTGCACTGTGCAGTGTAACCTGATTTTCACTCTCAGAACTTGTGCGTTTCCAATGTGCTTTATTAACCTTTCTAATCAGAGTTTAACAAGATGATAAAGATCGCACCAGATACAATTCACACTTCGCTCCAGCAGTGTTGAATCTCACTTCATTATAATGTTGTGAAATTCCTTGCCAGCTTGGCTTTATTTCCATAATATTAAACGTGTATGAAAATTAATAGCAGACTATTAAAAGTGCAACTATTGTGATTGAACGTGAGACAATTTTGCACATGTTCGACTGCAAAATTTTTTTACTTCCAACATAAAACCAAATAAAGTTACACATCCTTAGAATCTGTCTTATTAAATACAACAGTGTACCATGACAAACAAGTAACAAGAGGAATTGATGTTGTAGCACATTAGAATAGTAAATTTACGAAGACCAGGGTCGTAATCAACAACATTCGTAGCCAAGCATTCCTAGTGTGTGCCGATGCTTATATTTGACTTGAATTTGCACTGAAACAATGTAAAGAACAAATAATATTGAACACAAATGGTACACCCAGGTGATTCAACCCTGAGGAGGTTCAATATTAGGAAGATGATGCAATTTGAATGTAATTCAAGATGACATGTGAAGTTCGCCCTGAACCTTTCATTTTAAAATAATGAAACAAAGATGTAACAGACATCGAAAGAATCAATTTGCTTCATTTTTATTTCATCACAATTAGACAACAATGTGAAGTTATTGTTTTTAACCTTGAAATATCAAACTCCCCACCCCCAGCAGGAGTCTGCATCTTCAGGAGAGAAGAGGGAGAATGGTAAAAAGAAAAAAGTGTTGTGGTTTATTATTTTAGATAGAAAACTAAATTTTTTTCTGTTACAGTCATAATTCACAGAAATTATCTATGCTGGGGCTCGGGCTGCCTGAGCTGACATGTTGCATTTAACATTGGTTACAGCATTTGGTATTAAATTATTTTACATTATAACTTCTTTGCAGTAAGATACGAAGAGTAGAAGAGTTTATGTTCAGTAAGTGTGCTGACATCTTATTGACAATGGCATTCCATAAGCAGCAAATAAAGCAAACATTTTATCATAAAGATCAATATCAATATCAGTTATTAAGAATCCATTTGGTATTTTTACGCTGTGGAAACCTCTTCAACATAAACAATTGAGTAAAGCAATTTCAGGTATTTTATCCACGTTACTTAATTTGTAACATATGTTTCTAGAATCCTTGCTTCATAAATTGGGATTACTTATCTCCATCTTGTTTGCTTATTTCACTTCAATTCTGTTTCTTTTCCTTCCTCCTATGTTTTGCCCCCTTCAGTTTCATCTTCTGTTACTTAATAGTTGAAGATTGCTTATTATTCTTCCACTACCCATTCCTTGTTTATCCTTCATCTGTCATTTTAGTTCTGCTTTGGATTTCCTGAGTGGTGAATTACAACAGAACTTCCTTGGTGCTTTCAGCAGGGAGTAAGAAAATAGTGAACACACAAGAGAGGAGGGGGTAGAGTCAAGAGAGAAGAATAGACCTTACAGACAGATTACTGATGGCTGAAGGTTAAGCCATATTGGAAAAATGACTTATTGCTGGAAACAATACAAAGTCAATTGAACATCATTTCTAGTCAGATTGGTAAAAGCCAAAGGTTATTGGCATTTGCAAAGGTTAAGCTGAATGCTAGCTAACATTTCAATTTAACACGTTAGACCAAATACACAAT